GCACCCACAGACACTGGTACTCAACCGCCCGCTCCCGAGCATCCCGTCTCGTCGCCGACGGCCACCACCAACCCAGTTACAGCAGCGACCGATTCGAAATCATCCGCACCGTCGAGATGGAGAGCTGGGTTGAGTCCCGACTCCCGAGCCACGAGAAGATGGGCCACGGTTATGATATCACATCCGATACCGGCCGCGCCGTCACCCCTGCGGATAGCATTGAGATGAAGAGCGGCATGGTCTATGCCTCTCCGACGAGTGCTGCCTCCTCCTCTGCGTCAGGACGGAGCGAGACATTCGATGGTCGGCAGCTGCGTTAACTGCTGTTTTAGTACATCGCCTTCCTTCTTTTCTTTTTTTGTATCAAAATTTATGTCACTTTAGCCTAGATGATTTTATTGTGCTAGAAGGGGTACTTCACACAAATAACGATATTACTTGTACTACATCTATTTGATACTATCATGATTCTAATGATTACTTAACCAGCCCAATAATTGCTTCCTATAGTAGTATAGATACTCGGTGTAGATCTACACGTTTTCCAAGCAATGATCACCCTCGACCCAAGGTTTGACCGTGCGCTGAAAGCACAGTCCTGCGCTAGTTCGAACTTTGCTGGATTGGGTGGATCAGGATCGGCGCGTGGTGCGCTCTTGGTTTTCTTCGTTGACTAGGTTGTAGGTACTCATGTGTGGTGTATATATATTACTATGTATGAGGGATTCACTATGTAACGGCATCAATTGTCTCTGTAGACTATCCCAGGTGTTGGGGTAAAATGAGGTTCCGGCGTTGTCTTCTTGCCATTTCGGGCCAAAGATATATATAGTCCTTACATAGGTCTCAACCTACAATTTACCTACAAAACCCAACCACGGAAAAAAGATATATATGCTCAGCGTGACGTCAAGCCATGACGCACCCAAAACAAAAAATATATCACCAACGACATAGTCTAGTTATTGCACTCCTAATTGACCTCATTGTCAAGGCAACAAAAAGATCTGGACTCGCGGGGAATCGAACCCCGGACCACTCCCATGCTAAGGGAGTATTATACCACTAAACCACAAGCCCAGTTGATTGGTGGTTTGGGTGAAATAGTGCGTTATCAGCCAAAGGACCTAAGGTCGCCGATGTTCAGCTTATTAGGGCTCATCTGTTCTATTTCCCGTTTACATAAATGCAAGTGTAACTTAATATTGCATATTTACTAGGATCGTCTGGATACATCCACCGGATGTCCCGGTCTAAACAAGACCAATGCGTTACCAATTAAACAACGAATCCATTATTAAACACGTGCTATAAATTGTGAAGCCAACCATGATATAGTCAAGACATCATACATCGATGCTCATACACGCAGCTAAAAAAAGATGCCAAGACTCAAATTAGCTTATCGCAGAGGCCCGGAACCCTGGGATGATCGACAGTAGCAACATGACGGCCTCGACTTCTTTCTTTCGCCGTTGTGCGTGACTCGTCCCCATTGAGATAAATACATGCACAATAGCCCCCCTCGGGACGTTTATATGGAAACTCTTACCATATAGATTTGACAAGAACCCACCAGCGTAGACTTTCTCAATTCGTCCAGATACCCCATCGGATGCTCGGCGTTTCGTTGTCGAGATCAAGCACCCGATTGGTCAATATCACCGAAAAAAAAGCAACATACGCGGGGACAAGCTACTGAGCTCCAGGATAAGACCGATAGCATACTCCAACTGCATCTGGTATAAAGCCACCCTGCGCCGGTTGCTGTTCCATTCTATTTCATCCGTCCTCCTTCCCTTGCCCTTGCCCGAGTAGATTGATTGATCTGGGTCCTTTTCCCTCCATTGGATAGCTTACTAGACCGCTATTCTCTCTCCACCCTTCATCTATCCTCCCCACCACCCCTCTTCACATCACATTCACAATGTCCTCGGTCTTCCGTGCCAGCACACGGCTGCGCTCTGCAGCTCGCCTCCCGGCAGCTCGCGCTCTCTCTACCACTGCCAGTCTGCGTGCAGAGAAGCCTTTCTTCCCCAATGAGCCCTCCGCACCCTCCGTCTCGGGGTCACTCCCCGGACCTAAGAACAAGGCCGCCGCCGCCGAGCTCGACGAGGTCTTTGATGTCCGCAGCTTGAACATGTTGGCCGACTACTACCAGTCCGTTGGTAACTAGTATGATAGACCCTAACCCACTATCAAGACTCGACTAACCCCGCCTCTAGCATCGCCGATCTCGATGGAAACAAGCTCCTTGATGTGTAAGTCACTAGCCACGAGCCAATTGGAATACAGGAACTGACCCCAGTAGGTATGCTCAGATTGCTTCTATTCCCGTTGGATACAACAACCCCCACCTCAAGCAGGTGGCCGCCTCGCCCGAGATGGCCTGCGCTTTGATTAACCGCCCTGCTCTGGGTAACTTCCCCTCCTCCGACTGGGCTGAGATTCTCAAGACCGGAGTCCTCCGTGCTGCCCCCAAGGGCCTGAACCAGGTCTTCACCGCCATGGCTGGTTCCGATGCCAACGAGACTGCCTACAAGGCCGCCTTCATGTACTACCGCCAGATGCAGCGTGGTGGCGTCGGCGCCGACTTCTCCAACGATGAGCTGCTCTCCACCATGAACAACCAGAGCCCTGGTTCTCCCCACCTGTCCATTCTCTCCTTCAAGTCTGCCTTCCACGGCCGTCTCTTCGGCTCCCTGTCCACCACCCGCAGCAAGCCCATCCACAAGCTTGACATCCCCGCCTTTGACTGGCCCCAGGCCCCCTTCCCCCAGCTGAAGTACCCTCTGGAGGAGCACGTCCAGGAGAACACCGCCGAGGAGCAGCGCTGCTTGGCCGAGGTCGAGCGTCTCATCAAGGAGTTCCACAACCCCGTCGCCGCCGTCGTGGTCGAGCCCATCCAGTCCGAGGGTGGTGACAACCACGCCTCGCCCGCCTTCTTCCAGGGTCTCCGCGACATCACCAAGCGCACCAACGTCCTCTTCATCGTCGACGAGGTGCAGACCGGTGTCGGTGCCACCGGTAAGTTCTGGGCCCACGACCACTGGAACCTGACCTCTCCCCCGGACATGGTCACCTTCTCCAAGAAGGCCCAGACCGCCGGCTACTACTACGGCAACCCCGCCCTGCGCCCCAACAAGCCCTACCGCCAATTCAACACCTGGATGGGCGACCCAGCCCGCGCCCTGATCTTCCGCGGAATCATCCAGGAGATCGAGCGTCTCGACCTCGTCGAGAACACCCGCACCACCGGTGACTACCTCTACGCCGGTCTCGCCGGTCTGGCCCAGAAGTACCCCGAGCACTTCCAGAACCTCCGTGGTAAGGACCACGGTACCTTCATCGCCTGGGACACCCCCAAGCGCGACCAGTTCACTGCCAAGGCCAAGTCCTTCGGTGTCAACGTCGGTGGCTGTGGTCCCTCTGCTATCCGTCTGCGTCCCATGCTGGTCTTCCAGAAGCACCACGGTATGTTAACCTTCTTTCTTGTGCTTAAGAGCTCTTTACTAATATGTTTACTACAGCCGATATCCTCCTTGAGAAGATCGAGCAGATCGTCCAGAACATCTAAACAAATGCCGGCAATGACCTTTAGAAGTGTCCGGGCGTTTTCAATTTGGCTTAATGAGCGTTTTTTTCTGTTTTCTTTTATGTCCTGCAGGGTTCACTTTTTTCCCTTGCTGCCACGACTTTCATGTCATTACAAAAATGCAACGTATATTCCTGGAAATTGTGCTTGTCCACCATTGAGTTATGACTCAACCGAATCATTGGCCAGAGTAGGGATATATACTCTGCAAGCCGTTTTCTTATCTTATGCCCCCAGCTAAAGAAACTGGAATTGTAAACTCCTAAGTAATCTGAATCTGCTGTGTACGCCCTTGCAGTCCAATAAATATGAAGAAAGAAGGTAATGCTTCCCCGAAACTCCGAACGACCAGCAAAATTGTCGAAACCACCCTCATATAGCATGTCTTGATTGAATCAATGGGTGTGCGCTAGGGTATCCGAAACCAAGACTGTATGGACAAGGGTGGGTTCGTGTAGCGTTAAAGACTTGAGAGTAGGTGCTTCATGCATCTTCTTCGCCAGTGCTTCCGTCTCGACTGGAACAAGCGACCGTTAGTATCACGACGACGGTATCTCAGATAGTGGAATGATTTCGAACACGTACGGGACATATTTAATACCAGAGTCCTCTAGACTGTTGATAATGTATTCGGGAAGCTGTCAACGCGAAAGACACAATTAGCCAACCCGTGCTTGATAAGAGGAATAACAGAGCTTAGGAATTCAAAGAATGCACTTACTGTCCCCGTAACCTTGGTCGCATATGTGCCCGGCACGTAGTTATCCAACCGCTGCCAACGAGCAACCCAGCTCGCAGCCGGATCCCTCACAGCAATCAGGCCCTCGAAGACCTGCGACGTGCATTCTTGGATAGCATCATTGTTCCCCCGGAGTTGGAGGGTGCTCTCGCAATTCGGGCAGCCTTCACGCATGAATTTCTAGAGGAACCGGGGGTCGTTAGAGTTGCCCGCGGAACGGAGATCGTGTAGCTCTTACATTGTGGACTTGAACGACAGAGCAGACCATGCATGCGCGCAGCGTGCGCTGCTGGTTTGGAGGGGCGTAGAAAGACATATGGAGGAGATCTGAGGGTGTGAGGAGAGAGAGAAAGCTATGGATGGGAGGTGGCCGTCAAGTCTGGATCGATGCCAAGGCCCGTTGCGATCGGGGAAAAAAGAACATTGCAGAAGCAGGAACAAGCCTCTCCTCTCTTCTCTCACTTTTTTATTTTTTCCTTTTGACCACTCTCTCGTCTTTTTTTCGTTTTTCTCTTAGTCTATACTGGATTTAGAGGAGTTTTATTTATTTCTGGCTTCTCTTTCTTTCTCTTCCGGCTCGTATAATCGTTGCCTTCTTTCCTCCGCGCCCTTGTTTCGCACCGATAATCCTTGTCTCGTGCCCCTCGCTTTTTATCTCCGCCCCAAATGGCTACCGATCAAGAATTGGCCACTGCGCTTAAGGTGCAGGGCAACAAGGCCTTTGCTGAGCATGACTGGCCTGTCGCTGTCGACTTTTATACCCAGGCTATTGCCAAATTCGACAAGGATCCTTCTTTCTTCTCCAACCGGGCCCAGGTATGTTCCTGACGATCTATTCCCGAGAGTCGCGTGCACACTCGTTAGGATCGGCATAGCTAATGTCTTTTCTTCTTGCTGTTATAGGCTCAGATTAAGCTCGAAGCCTTCGGTTTTGCTATCGCCGACGCCACCAAGGCAATCGAATTGGATCCCAACTATGTGAAGGTTAGTCGGCATTCTTAGCCGGCAAGAGAGACAACTTGTGCCTGCATATTGAGCGGTCGCGGCGATATATGCTAAATCCAAATTTACCACAGGCCTACTGGAGACGTGCTCTCGCCAATACCGCCATTCTAAGTTACAAGGAGGCCTTGAAGGATTTCAAGGCTGTGGTGAGACGCGAACCGGCCAACCAGAATGCTAAGCTGAAGGCTGCTGAGTGTGAGAAGCTCGTGCGCCGCAGAGAGTTTGAGCGGGCCATTGAGATCTCAGATCCGCCTTCGGCTTTTGCGGATTTGGATATCGATGCTATCAATGTTGAGGACGGTTATGATGGTGTGCGCCTTGGCGAGGAAATGACGCAGGAGTTCCTCGATGATATGGTCCAGCGCTTTAAGGACGGAAAGAATATTCATCGCAAATATGTCTTCCAGATCATCAAGGCTGTCAAGGATATCGTATACAACGAGCCTACGATGGTCGAAATTGGGGTGGAATCGGGCAAGAAGTTGACAGTCTGCGGTGATACACACGGTATGTATTGTCTTGCTGGTGAGTGAAGCAGTTGCTGATTGTTTAGGCCAATTCTTCGATTTGCTCAATATCTTCCGACTAAATGGTGCCCCCTCCGATACCCACGCCTACCTCTTCAACGGTGACTTTGTTGACCGTGGCTCCTGGTCCTGCGAAGTCGCTCTGCTGCTTTATGCATACAAGTGGTTGCGTCCTAACGGTCTCTTCCTTAACCGTGGAAACCACGAGACGGATGATATGAATAAGGTCTACGGCTTCGAAGGCGAGTGCAAGGCTAAATATAACGAGCGGGTCTTCAAGGTATTCTCCGAGTCATTCTCGGCTCTGCCGCTGGCCACTTTGATCGGCGAGAAGTACCTTGTCCTGCACGGCGGTCTCTTCTCCGACGACAAGATCAAGTTAGATGATATCCGCAAGCTCAACCGCCATAACCAACGACAGCCTGGCCAAGCGGGCCTGATGATGGAGATGCTCTGGACCGACCCGCAGCCCGAGGTTGGCCGCGGCCCCAGCAAGCGTGGCGTCGGTCTTCAATTTGGCCCTGATGTGACCAAGCGCTTCTGTGAAAACAATGGCCTGGAGGCTATCATTCGCTCCCACGAGGTGCGGATGGGCGGTTACGACGTTGAACACGATGGTCGTTGCATCACCGTCTTCTCCGCTCCCAGATACTGCGACGCGACTGAAAATAAGGGCGCTTACATCAACATCGGCCCTGAACTCAAACTTGCATATGAAGTCTTTGGGGCATCGCCACACCCCGATATCAAGCCGATGGTAAGACCATGACCTAAACATCTAATCAAGTTCCCCAGCTAACTGTCTTAGGCGTACGCGAATAACTCTATTCTTTCGGGAATGTGATGGCATATCTGATTTTCAAGCGCGGCGTTGCCTACGAGATCTACCTAGAATTGATGTTCCCAATGTATTTATGCGCAATGATGTATTCCAGTAGCTCCGAGTAGCTCTGACGTCGCCAACTGTATATTGTACACCGCTTTTACCCCGCGCCCTCCCCTCGATTCTGCCACTTTGACTTTTTGCCCTCGGTCTAGATACATCTTGCATAGCAGTCATGGAATTCGATCCTAAGACTCGTAAGCATCCTTGGTCGGCCATAAATATATTAGACTAACCCGAGCAGCTCAGTACCTCACCTCCGACAAGTCGAGCTTTGCCTCGGTCTCGGCCAACGAGCGGTGGCCTGTCATCATCGTGAGCTTGGCAGACAATCGATAACCGGATCAATTGCTGAATATGTGTGACGACTCTAGACTGGCGCTATCGATGACCTTCATCGCACCGTTGTAGCTGTCAAGGACGGCGAGAAGGCAAATGAAGGCAAGGGCATTATCGCCAAATTGGCCTCCTTGAAGTATGAGCTTCAGCACGACCGACAACTCACGTGAGTCATTTTATCCTCAATGCTAGAAATATAAGAGCTTCACCTAACGTGTCTATTGCGGCTAGTCCCCTGGATGACGACGGACATCCAGATATCGCTTCGTATAACAAGGAGCTGGAGGAGCGTGGAAACCCCCACTGGCACGATGTGGCCTGGCTTTATGCAGAGTGTTACCTCTGTAAGCCCAACCCCGGTCCAACAGAGAATAGATATATTTCGGCAATACTGACCAACGACCATCATAGACCGCCGCATGGAGGCCCTTTTCGCGTTGTCTAAGCATTGGAAGGGCTATGACGTGTTCGCCCGCCAGAAGATGGATACATTCAAGTCGTCCCGGCCCGCCGTACTAGAACTCGCTGCGAGATACCGTGAGTTGGCGACAGAATCCGAGTCTGGAAAAGCAAGAGAGAACAAGTCGCCAGAGGAAATCGACTCGGCCGAGAAGCTGCTCTTCTCGGAGATGTGCGAGATCTGCTTATGGGGCAATGCCACCGATCTGTCACTTCTGACATCTCTCACCTACGAGGATATCCAGAAACTGCAGGGGTCTGAGGCGCGCAAAGCATCAGAGCAGAACATCATTGTCAATGACCTTGATGCTGCTTTCGGGGTAATGCAAAAGGCGCGGAGAGAGAAGAAGGACGGCGACCGCCGCGTTGACATCGTCTTAGATAACTCCGGATTTGAGTTATTCGTTGATCTCATTCTCGCTGGATACTTGCTGTCCGCCGGACTGGCGACCAGTGTCGTGCTCCACCCCAAGCGCCTGCCATGGTTTGTGTCAGACGTCACCCCGAAGGATTTCTCCGATCTGCTCAACTGCATGGTCGACCCGCAGGCCTTTTACACAGCGATCGATGGCTCGGGCAAGACATTCCCCCCTCTTTCTGACAAGGAGGTCTCCGACGTGCGATTCCTCTTCGAGCAGTGGAGCCAGTTCCACCAGGATGGTAAGCTGATCCTGCGTCCGCACGCTTTCTGGACCACCCAGGGTGGTTACTGGCGCATGCCATTCGTGGCACCGGAGCTGTTCGAAGATCTGAAGGAAAGCGAGCTTGTCTTGTTCAAGGGCGACCTGAACTACCGAAAGTTGGTCAATGATGTAAGTCCAGTGTTCTTTGCTTTCTTTCTTTCGCTTTGTGTTTCTTGCTAACAATATCCAGGCCCAATGGGATCCCACCACTCCTTTCACAGAAGCTATCGGCCCGCTTGGCCCTAAGTCGGGGATCCGTGTTCTAGCCTTCCGCACTTGCAAGGCTGATCCCGTTGTCGGTCTCCCCGCTGGCGAGGACGAGAAGCTCCGCGCACTGCCGGGAGGCGGCGGCGCTGAGTCTCGTAAGTGGGCCTGGGGCGGGAAATGGGCCGTCGTGTCGCTCTCTGACGGTAAGGCCTGAGAGCGCACTACACGACCGACCGTGTTCTTTCCGTTGCACACTGGGTGAATATACGATATGGAACCTTTGTAGGTGAACTAGATAGTGAAAGAGCACAGCTGGATGTAGACAAGATAATACCTAATCTAGATTTTGAATAAAGGTGTGATATGATACATTAGCCATTGTACCAATCCCGGAGGCAGCGAGAATTTGGCAACAGTGCCTGCGAGCGATCCCGATCGAGAGACTAGAAGAGCCACCGATTCAATAATACAACAATTGTCTTCGCTGAAAACGTAGATAGAAACAAGGTGACGAAAAACAGTAACGCTTATGAACCCGAACACCACCCCATAATGCTAAGCTATGCCTTATTTCCAAATCAGGCGACTCCATAGTACATAGTCACCTCAAAGATTCTCCTTTCCAAATGCTTTGATCTTACGACTGTCCTTCTGCCTGAGCCGTGACTTGGCCGCGGCAATTCGTTCAGGAGTGAGCGCTTCACGCTGGACATCAGTAAACCCGTACCGCTTGCCCACGCGCTCGCCCGCTGAAACGGCATACCCCGAATACCGACTGCGAGACGGGAGACCAGAGATTGAATCGAGGGTCGATTTGATGTGGGTACGTTCGCGTTGTGTGTGTCGGTTGCTGAGCCGAGTATCATCGTCAGCAGGGGGGTTCAGGTTCAGGTTCGGATTCCGATAGAGCCGCTGGCCTTCGCCGAGTCGGCGTCTTGAGTACGTGCGGTTCAACGACTTCAGGGCTGAGATATCGGGAGGCGAGGACGGGGGGATTTGATCCAACGCTGCAGTACGGGCCTCGAGTTGCGGCTTCAGGAGTATTTCGTTCAGATAATGTGTCACCTCGTCGTCATCTGCGACTATGTCTCGGGTATTCGGTCTTGTACTAAGTGTGCCCAGTGTGTTACTGCGCAGAGCAGGTCGCGATTCGCGTATTTTGGAGCGTGGACTCGGGCTTGGGGGAGGCTCGGTATCTTCGGTGGGTTCTTCTTCAGGTTTCTCAAGGTCCTGATCAGTAATGTCCTGGTCGCCAAAGTCAAAGTCAAACGCCTGCACGTCTGTGTTGTCTTTGCGAGGACTTAGGAATTGCCGCTCTGTGGAAGGTAGTGCCGGGAAGCGTTCGGTAGAACCGAGTCGCAGCTTCAGAAGGTCGATCTGTTTCTGCATGTGACGGCGTTCTGCTTCGGAAGTATTCCTCAAATTCTCTTCCGAGGCACGGTGCTCCTGAGAGACTGTTTTGAGCTTCTCTCTATATTCTTGGATCCGCTGCTCCAGTCTGGCTTCTCTCTGCTTCAGTCTTGTTTCCTTGTCCTTTCGTCGACCTTCATATCGAGACATTTCCTGCTTCACTCGCGCCAGTGTTTGTTTCAGAGTGTCATTCTCTTTCTCGAGTGCTTGGGCTTTCTTTTCTGAGCTCTGCGCGAGGTCTTGAAGTTTGCTTAGTTCGGACTGTTGTTTTTTCATCTCCTCAATCTTGGCATTGGCTTGTTCCAATTCTTGTTGTGTTTTGCGAAGCTCCTCAGTTGGGGTGTTTGAAGGAGGTTCTTCCTTTTTCTTTTGTGTGATATTTGCCGCATCGCTTACAACATCATGTCGTTCCAAGGCACTGCGCAACGAGGTAACCTGCTGCTTATATTGCAATGCAAGAGCGGTTTGTTTGGTCAAATCTTGAACTAGTTGCTCCTTGTCGCCTGTCGATCCCTCCCCGACCATCGAAGAAGCAAGCCGTGACACCTGCCTTTCCATCTCGGCGACCTTTTCTTCTTCCTCCTTGAGCTTGTCGGCCAGCCGCATAGCTTCTGTATCCTTTTTGCGAGCGTAGGATTTGGCAATCGATCGGTAATGAATCAATTTCTTAATCTCTCGATTGGTTTTCACACGATAATTATCGAATTCGGTTTTCCAGTACTTGCCTGACTCTGAGTGGGGGTCATCCAGATTGATAGTGACATCTTCATCGAGCGTATCCTTGGAGCCAGAGCCCACGGCATGTTTCGTTTCCCGTGTGTTCTCATCAGACTTGGCCGGATCGGAGTTCTTGGATGCGTTGTCGCGTGCATTCATGAGTGTCTGGGTGAGTTTGCTCCTCGGCTTGCCGTTTCCATCTGATGACCCAGACATCCACTGGGTACTGAGGGCTCCGGAAGGATTTGGTGGAGTCTTGGCCGGCTTACTGGCCGAGCCGGGGCGTTTCCCCTCATTGTCGATGACACTTTCGCCAAAGGATACCGTCTTACGACGCAACGCGGTTCCGGGTGTAACAAGTATGCTTTTCGTCGGGGATCCCGTGGGGTTGTAAGTCGCGTCGCCTGATTTCGCGTCGGTCTTGATCTCAGTTGGCGCGGATGTTGTCGTATCGCTTTTGCTTCGTTGGTGACCGGACTGTCTCGGGGACGCGTTTTTTCCATCGTCCTCTGCTCCGGGGGTGCCAAACAGAGCACTCTTGAACGCACGAATGGCAAAGACATGGCCTGGAGTCTCAGGGGGTTCTAGCAGCTTAGAGTCATCTGTAGCATCACGTTAGAGCAATGGCTTCAAAGGTCAACGTAATCACCACACCTGTAGCCTGTGTGCTTTGATCGTTCCCCTTGATCCAGTCCAGCATTTTGACTGCCGGGATTGGAAGAAACCTCGAAGTTCAAGCCCAATCGAAAGTCTAATGGATGTTTATGGTCGGCGCGGTCGGAAAAAGCTTATCGATAAGCTCGTGTTCCTTTTGTTTACGCTTGGCACTCGGTTTTGGACTTTTGAGGATTGGGATTTGGGAGAAGTTCTTCACCTTCTTTTGTTCCACATTTATTCCGAGAAGAATTCGCTTGTGGGCCTTGAGTTGTTCATAACAGGTGTGTACAGAGTACACATGTGCGTGTACAGAGGAGTGGACATCCATATGTACCCTCCTGGGGTACTTGGCATATCTGGAGTCTACAACTATGTACCAGCCTTGCTTAGATCAATTCTTCCTCTTCGGGGTCTGATTGTTCTCAGAGCATCTTACAAATATCTATGCTATCTTCAGGTCTTATATAAGAAATCCCCCGAATTCTTGTCTTTCCCATGACTTCGAAGACTACACTGTGATCCCTTACGGCGCTCAAGTCCTTGAAAGCTGCAAGCCACTGCAGACACTACGCAAACGTCAGACATAAGACTGGCTTGGCATGACAATATCTTTCTTTCCCGTTTGGTTGTTCTCCGCTTGATTGCCCGCGCAATTGCAACCACATTTGTCGGATTCGGTGTCAACGCCATCCTACGTCCAGAACATGCTCTCACTTTCTTCCAGTTCCGGCCACCTAACTCTGTACAGAGTGGTGGACAAGCAGAGGCCCGACAGTCTAATGTCAATCTATGGAGTCCGAGACATCTTCATGGGGCTGCCATATATGTGGCTTCGTATTTCGGCGCCCTCAACCTGGGCTGGATCCTGATTGCCGCTAGCAGCGTCGCATTTGCAGATGGGTCTGTGTGTTGGACCTAGGGCCAAGGATAGTGGAATCATTGCGGATACGCACCAATGATTGCTGTGGCTAGCAGCTTGTTGCTCGATGTCTTCGATTGTGGATAGTCACAGGAACAAAGACAACACTAGTAGAGATGATCGACTGCAGGGTCGATAATTGCCACCCTTCTCAGTATGCCAGCTCACCGGCTCACCAGCTCATTATCTCAAGATATCTGGGCCCACTATTGGGCAGGGACTGGTGATTTGGCTTGACGGCGATGATAGACAAGTCGATAGACACATGGGCTATCTCGTAAACGACTTGAAATAAACACAAGACGCAAGAAGCATGAGACGAAATTAAACCACAGTAGAATACAAGCGGTAAACCCATAAATCCACAGTTAAACCAACTGGGTCGTCATTTATACTAAGCATCTCCACCCCAGAAGTGGAAGGGCGTATTATCTGACCGCCTGTTTGGTCTAGCCTCAAGAGGCGAGGGAAAAAAGACTGCCCGATTTCTTTCAACCTCCCATAACCCTTTCATCTTTTATTACTAGCCCTCATGTCGCACGACGCTCAGGGTCGCTTGTAGGGCGAGCTCTCGCCACGCCCCGCGATGTCTCCCAAACAGAGGAAGAAGCCCTCCCGCCAGAAAAACCAAACGTCTGATTCCTCCGTGACGTCCCCCGTATTTACAACCAATTACCGAGAAATCCACCAGACAGAGGTGGAAGCTCTGCGCTCAATCTATGGCGACGACTTTGAAGAAGTAGAAAATAGGCGGTCGGCCTGGCAGGTGGGTGTCTCTTTGAGCTGTTTGGGCCCCTCGTGGTCACTAACCCATACACTCTAGCAATCCTCCGATGTGACATTCAAGCTTCATTTGCGCTCCTCTTCGAATCCAGACGTACTCCTCATTTTGCTGGTCGAACTCCCCACTACGTATCCTAAAACAATCCCCAACCTCTCACCAGGAAACCTCGACGGCTTTCGCGATGGAGCGCGCTCCCGGATACAAGAAATTCTACGCAACAAGCCAAAATCTCTGCTCGGCAGTGAAATGATTTACGAGCTTGCGGTGTCCATCCAAGATGTTCTAGAGGATGTTGCCCAGGCACAGGCACAGGACAAAGACCTACCCAGCCTTGAAGAGGAGCGCATGGAACAAGAGGCGGCTGCTCTTCAGCGCGCAGACCTAGAAAAACAAGAGAAACTTCGCAAACAGAAGGCTGCAGCTGTCGAGGAAGAGCGCGCATTGCAGGAAATGCTTCAAGACAAGATGCGACAGCGGAACAAGGCTCGTCTTATGAGACGAAAGAGTCGATCTGGCGGCGTGGATATGAGTTATGTTGATGACCTAGTGGAAAATACACCTGGCGCCATCTGCTTTGATCCTCCGTTGGTCGTCAACGACACCGATGAGCAGCCGCTGGTCTTCCGCGCCGTCTATGGCAAGACCCTTCTGCAAAGCGAACAATGCAGAAAGACTTTCACCGTCAGGCCTGTTGTGTCTGAGAGCCGATGCTACGTCCCGCTGCTTGTGTTGAAGGAGCTTTGCCTCGTTGAGAATAATTCCGAAGGATTGACATTCCGTGAGCAGATGCGCACTAGTGAGGACAAGTTAGAGGGAATCAAGCGATTGCGACATCCCAATCTTGTTGAATTTGTGGGCTTTAAAATCAACCGCCCAATAGACCACTTGGATTCATCTGATAATTCTTGGACCGTCTTTGCGCTTTTCGAGTATGCCAACAAGGGTTCCCTTTCCGAGCTCCTGGATATTGTGGGCACCGTAGCTGCTGACATGCTCCGCGGCTGGATGATTCAGTTACTCGAGGCTCTGGAGTTCTACCACCGCAGCGGCTTTGTGCATGGCAACATTCATTGTGGCCGAGTCTTCTTGTTCAGGACTCCTTCTGGTGAAACTATCGTTAAACTGCAGTCCAACGTCGAAGAAGCCTTGCCCGACTCTCTTAGCAGAAAAACCTCTTTCGCGGCGTCGAAATCACCACTTTGGCTACCCCCAGAGCTGACACAAGAAGGTTCTGCTCCCTCCATGAAGACTGATGTCTGGGATCTTGGAATTGTGCTGCTTCAGATGGGCTTTGGAAAGGATGTCCTTCTCAGGTACACCTCCGCCAATCAGTTGATGGTGTCTATGGGGCTCTCGCCGCCCCTGCAAGATTTGCTTTGTGAATTCTTTCGCCCAAATCCCAAAAAGCGTCCGACTGCTTTCCAGCTCCAACCGTCGGAGTTTTTCCGCGTGGATGCGCCGTTAAAGATGCGAGAAAGGGCATCGGGATCTGTGTCCATGCAGAGACAGCCACGGTTAGACTCTTTTGGACCCGTGCCGGCTTTCTCACGATATCATCAAGACTTCGACGAGACAGGCCAGCTAGGCCGTGGTGGGTTTGGGCAGGTAGTCAAAGCCCGGAACAAGCTCGATGGTCGGTTATATGCGATAAAGAAGATCTCTCAAACATCGGCTGCAGCGTTGAAAGACACCCTTTCCGAAACCATGCTGCTATCTCGGCTGAATCATCCCTATGTTGTCCGATACTACGCTGCTTGGCTTGAAGAGGACTTCAATAACGTGGAGGAAGAGGCTATGTCCTCCACCGAAGGTGATCCGTTTGCTAGCCATGACCATGGATTCAGTACAGGCGGCCTCGATTTCATCAGCTCCAGCGGATATCCAAAAATAGAATTTGCCGCATCAGACAGCGATGATGAAAACGAAGGAACATTATCTGACCCCGCTTATCCAGAGACGCCAGAGAGGAACAGGGTAAATGAAAATGATAGCGACTTTGATGCCGGAAGTGTGGAGGAAGTTGAGCTCAGCCGAGCGAGATCTGGCTCTTATGCCAGGCCTATCGTAACGACACTCTACATCCAGATGGAGTACTGTGAGAAACATGTAAGTGTTTTAACATCGCTCTGCTCGTTGTTCTAGACTAACATTCCCTAGACCTTGCGCGATCTAATAAAGGATGATTTGTGCGATGATATCGAGCGTTCATGGCGTCTCTTCCGGCAAATTCTCGATGGCTTGAGCCATATCCATAGTCACGGCATCATACACCGTGACTTGAAGCCTGACAACATTTTCATCGACGTTGCAAACAATCCCCGCATTGGTGACTTTGGTCTTGCAACAAGTGGCCAATTCACAACGGCTGTGCGTTCGTCCGCAGCCGCCGACTTCGAAGGAGATTTCACTCGTAGTTTGGGTACAACCTACTATGTGGCACCGGAGATGAAGTCAGTTGTTTCGGGGCACTACAATGAGAAAGTCGATGTGAGTAGTGAATATACAACTGGCATCACGACTACCTGCTCACGCATTCTAGATGTTTTCGCTCGGTGTAATCTTCTTCGAGATGTGTTATTCATTGCCAACTGGCATGGAACGAGACCAAACTCTTCGACAAATTCGTGAAAAGAATCACACTCTTCCGCCCGCTTTCCAGCAATCTGATAAGTTGCTCCAGGGCCAGATCATCGAATCTCTGCTGAGCCATGATCCGAGTGAACGCCCCACAGCCTCCGACCTTTTGTCCAGCGGAAAGATACCTCTTCAGGTCGAAGAAGAGACATTCAGACGGGCTATTGTGCATCTGCTCTCGGATCCAAATTCACCCGACTACAAAAAGATTCTATCAGCTATCTTTTCTCAGTCGCCTAAGAAATTCGAAGATATTGCTTGGGACATAGACTCACATGCAGTACCGGCCGCGAACGAGCTACTTGTCCAGGGCTTGGTTAAGAAGAAGCTAACCTCGATATTTCGAAGACATGGTGCTGTCGAGTCAACAAGGCAAATGCTCTTTCCTCGATCTCAGCATTACAACAACGGTGCAGTACGTGTGCTGGATGCATCTGGCAATCTTTTACAGCTGCCATATGATCTCACACTTCCAAACGCACGAGCAATTCCAAGACAAGATCACTCACTAGAGAAGACATTTGCGTTCGGCACAGTCTACAGGGATACAATACATGGTGGCGAACCACAAACTCACCGCGAAGTTGACTTTGATATTGTGTCCCACAACACCCTGGATCTAGCCTTAAAAGAGGCAGAAGTGATCAAAGTTTTGGACGAAATCATTGAGGAATTCCCACCTCTGCGGTCTACTCCGATGTGCTTCCTCGTCAACCACTCCGATCTACTCCAGCTTATTATGGAATTTTGTCGCGTCACGCCTACTCAAATCCCCAAGGCAAAGGAGGTTCTCAGTAAGCTGAATGTTGGAAAATATAACATGCAAAAGATTCGAAGTGAACTTCGGGCCCCGGCAATTGGTGTTGCTTCAACTTCGTTGGATGACCTTGCCCGTTTCGATTTCAGAGGTACTTAAGCTTACTTTCTCATATTGGGAACAATACGCTAATGGATATGATACAGACTCATTGAAGGAGACAAAACGCAGACTTCAGATTATCATGGAAGGAACTGAATATGCGGAGCGGATTTCACCAATATTCGCTCGTTTGAACGTGCTCATGACCTATTTGCAGAGTTTCGGCGTGAAACGGAAGATTTATATCAACCCACTCAGCAGCGTTCATGACAAGTTCTACCGCGGTAGCATTCTGTTCCAGTGTATCTTTGATAGCAAAAGACGCGGCGTGTTTGCTGCAGGTGGCAGATATGACCGGTTGATTCAGGAATTCTCACCTCATGGCTTATCAAATCGACCTCAAGCACATGCTGTTGGTTTCAACCTCGGCTCCGATCTACTACGGTCATCGATGATTGATTACCTAAAGGCCAAGGCTCCGTCGAAAGATTCAGAGACAAGTGCTGAGTTGTACTGGACAGCCCGTCGGGTAAGTGACTTCCATCCGAACTCGTTTGATGTAATATTTGCTGATCTTCAAAGTGTAATGTACTTGTTGCCAGCTTTGACCCCGCAGTCCTCCGTACAACAGGAGTTAAACTGATCGAAGAACTCTGGTCCAACAACATAAGCGCGGAGCTTGCAGTCGATGCCTCGTCCCTTGAAGAGCTTCTAGCAAAATACAAAGACTCCAATCACCGGTGCATTGTAATCGCCAAGCAAGATAGCAAGGAGCGTGGGTTTAAAGTTCGGAATCTGATGCGCAAGGAAGAATTCGATATCCGCCTCCCTGAACTTGTGCAGTGGCTTCGATCAGAAGTGCAGGCGCGCCAGTATCGCGAGGGAACTCCTGATCCCCGCCAGTCCCGTCAATTGAGCCAGCAGGAGGCTCTCGCGTTCCAGGAACGGGCCAATGATGTGCGCATCCTCATCCCCCAGCACCGAAACAAGAAGACGAACCGAAGGAACATTGTTGAGTCAGGTATGTTCAGGCTTCAAGTGGGGATCCAGTCCAGTATACTAATTGATACACTGTGTTCTAGCCCTTCTTTCCTCTCGAGAAGTAGCCGAAAACGCCCGCAACGGCCCTGTCGCAGCCATCGACACCCGCGACGAAGTTCTCGACGCTATTCGCGACACGCGTCTCTCTGACGCAGAGAGCTGGCGCAGCGTGATCCAGAACGCACCGCTGACAGAGCGGAAGTATCTTAGTCAAGTGCATGAGCTACTCACTGACTTGGCCATGGAGAGTCGCACAAATGATACCATAGAAAGCTACACGAATGCTTTCATCTACAACTACCGCACAGGCTCCTGCGTATACTATGACCTGGGACCCTAGCGAGAAATGAATTTACGACTGATTGATCTCATGGGAGGAAGAGTGAAGGGGAGTTAGGTTAAGCATAAGTCTCGGATCGATGAGACTCGTGGTGTTTGCATTTGGTTTATGGGTGGATATATTTCGTTTTGGTTGACACGCTCTCAATGTTGTGTTTTAGCGAGTGCTCGGGATGATACCATACATAGTGATGATGAATGACGCCCAGAAATAATATTTTACGGATATCCTGTATGGAGACGCAGAGAGAAATAAACATTTTGACAGAGGTATCGTTGCTGTTGTACATGAAAAAATTCACAATCATGATGGATTAGGATGCCGCACAAACTGCACGTAAATCAGTCACTCTCATCGTCGCTGCCGTAGCCGACTAACGGTCCACCAACAGCCTTGGGTGCCTGGGTCGTCACCGTTCCGCCATTAAGACCCCGTAGGGCTGCGAGAGCTGAGCTGGAGAAGATGCCATTACTCTGAGGCTGCTGCTCCTGCTCCTGTACCGAAACCGAAGCAGACTCGATCATCATCGGTTGTTGGGGTGCCTCTAGCTGAGCGGCCCGGCTCGCATCCTCCAATTGACGGGTTCTAGCATGCCACACATCATCTGGAACGTCATAGCCCTGTAGTCCAAAAGTTCCCTCGATCTTCTTCCGCCTCTTGGCTTCGGGATCTCGGCCTTCGATCTCTGCTACAAAAGCTGCGGGTAGTGCCCGGCGCACAGCCTCGGCGGCTTGCTCTTCTAACCGGCGTGCCTCGCGCTTCTGTGCCATTGGGTTCGGGTCGACCGTTGCCCATCGTACGTTAAGAATTTCCTACTTGTTGTTAGTACCTTTGTATAACACATCTTGTGGATTGAAATGTTGAACTCACTTCATGATCCAAGCTTTGGTTTTGCATCGCAGCTAGACTTTAGTCATATGTTAGTTCGGTACAAATAGAGAGCTTGGGAAGGGGTATCTTACGCAAACTGCGCATTACTTTCTGACGAATAGGTCACGAAAGCCACGCCCCGTCCGGTAAGTACTCTGGTTCTTTCAATTTGACCCCATTCCGCAAAATGCCTTGAGCACACTTCCTCGATATCATCGCTAGATGTTGATTAGCAACAATACGAAGTATAGCCTTTCGAGGTACTCACGAAACCGTAATCCGACCCACGTAGATTGTCCTATTTTGGCGTGTGAACGAGCCTACTCCGGACATATCCTATTTCAAGTAGCGTTAGCGATATGTTCATAGCGAAGCAACATCTCCTAGTCACAAAGAGATACTCACTTCCTTGTAATCGCTGTGCTTGTCTCTCCCTATAGTCTGGAGTCAGTCGCCTGTTTTAAAATCAAATAGCAAGGAGACTAACCAAAGCAGTCCATGTTTGGATTGAACCTAAGAATCATTGATTAGCCAGGTTCTTTTGTATCCGACGAGTCCAACAGAGTAGAAGAATCCTCGAATCGCGTACGGCATGGGAATCACTAACATATCGTGAATCGTCGGTAGACGATGGAGGTATTCACAGTCCTGACCTTTCACGCAGACGCCTCGCGCAAAATGTATGCTAGATAGGACGGAAAAAGGATTAGCAAATGTCTACCGCGATGCGCAATGGTAAAATTTCCTACCAGAAAAAGGAGCCCGGAATGCGATCAGCGCGAGTGTATCCCGAGTCACGCGCAATATTGCAGCGACTAGGCGCAGGCTGGCTGAGGCCATATTTGTCGTCGTTGTCGCCGCTCTTGTTGTACCAAATATTATAGTCGAGTCCCGGCTGCTGTGCAGGCTCAGCTTTGATGGTTGACGCGTCGACTTGTATCCTCGCTGGGCGTTTCTTCCTGCGAATAATCTTGGTCTTCTTGACCGACTGAAGCTGCTGCTCTCCTTGCACAGTCTCGTCCGCGCCGGTTGTTGCCACAATTGTCTGTTCGGCATTGACTTCAAGGGTTTCGGGGGTGGTGGAAATGGGAGCTGGTGGCTCAGCAACCGATGTATCTGCCATGGTCGTGTTTGTGTTGGAGATGTTGACTTGGAAGGTTAAGCTTGAGCTTCAAAAAAAAGGTCGACGTCTTGGACCGTTCCAACTGAGGTGCTTACATAAGGCTTGGCAAGTGCGCCAGGGCACATCGGATTTGGTATTTCCCTCTCTGAGGCACAACGAAGCACCAGAGAAAAATATTTAGTGATTTCACAGGCGACGAGCCTCAACCGACAAGATGGTGAACATCACGGAAAAGATCAAGGAGTCAGTTTCTTGTTAATTGCTGGATGGCCTAATTTACTGATCTTTTACAGGATCGAGGATGAGATGCGTCGAACGCAGAGTAAGTGTTCTTATCTTCAGACTTATATATCACCCCGCTAATGACCCACAGAGAACAAGGCAACAGGTAAGATATCATTTTGATCAGGGGAGGATATGACCTAATTTCCAAATCTCCATATCAGAACACCATTTGGGTCTACTGAAAGGGTATAGTCTGAATTCTCTAACTTCAATTTCAAATATAAACTAACAATCTTTCCAGAAAACTTGCCCGGCTAAGAGCCCAGCTCTTGGAGCCAGTGGGAGGTGCTGGCGGTGGCCCCGGTGCGGGATTTGATGTCAGCAAGAGCGGCGATGCACGAGTGGCTCTTGTTGGCTTCCCCTCTGTCGGAAAGTCTACATTCCTGTCTAAAATCACCAAGACCAAGAGTGAGGCTGCATCCTACTCTTTCACCACGCTGACGGCTATTCCCGGAGTGCTGGAGTATGGTGGCGCTGAGATTCAGATCTTGGATTTGCCAGGTATTATCGAAGGTGCCTCCGAGGGCAAAGGCCGTGGTCGGCAGGTCATTTCGGCCGCAAAGGTGAGCGGGCTAACTTTCTTAATAGGAGAGAGTACAGAAACACTGACAAAATTCCTGCTTCTAGACAAGTGATTTGATCTTGATGATTTTGGACGCCACAAAGCGTGCCGAACAGCGAGCCTTGCTCGAGGCCGAGCTGGATGCCGTGGGCATTCGGTTGAACAAGGAGCCCCCGTATGTTATACCGTATCCGAAGTTTTGCGCAGACTGAAATACTGATACCATCCTAGTAATATCTACTTGAAAATCAAGAAGGCCGGTGGCATGAAGATCTCTTTTGCTACGCCCCCAAAGCATTTGGATGAAAAGTTGGTTTACAACGTGCTCCGGGATTACAAAATTCTCAACTGCGAGGTGCTCGTGCGAGATGAGAATGGTACGTGATGCTTTAATACAAACAGCCAGGCCCAAACACTAATTGCGGCTCCGTTATAGCCACGATCGACGACTTTATCGATGTGATTATGAAGGACCACCGGAAGTACATCCGCTGGTAAGATTGACACTAATCATGATTGATATCCAACTGTCAAACGCTAATATTTCTCCTTTTGTGCCAGTCTTTACGTTTACAACAAGGTCGACAGCATCGGCCTCGAGTTCCTTGATGCCCTTGCCCGCGAACCTCACACAGCCGTCATGAGTTGCGAACTTGACCTCGGCGTGCAAGACGTTGTCGAACGCATCTGGAAGGAACTGAGACTAATGCGGCTTTACACAAAACGGTATGGTATATCCTTGACTTTAGGTTCATTGACATGGCTGATGATTATCGTATCTTTAGAAAGGGAGAGGAACCTAAATTCGATGAGGCGCTCATCGTACGAAAGGACTCCACCATTGAGGATGTTTGTGACCAGATCCATCGCACAATTAAGGACACATTTAAGTATGCATTGGTGTGGGGAGCGAGCGCGAGACATGTTCCGCAGCGGGTAGGATTGGGACATTTGGTTGCTGATGAGGATGTGGTATCTATAGTGGCTAAGTAGAACTTAGAGATCGAAAGCGATGATGAAAATATTGATACGACTACAAAGAGCTTGGACATGAAAATATGGTCTTAATGCTGTTGATTTCATATGCCATGCATGAATCTATGAACAAAAAATACGAAAAGTAAAATTATTTCATCAAGGCAACCAATTGAACCCTCAAAAACCAGAACTCCTACTGCAATACGTTGACATGCTTAAGCAGCAGCGGCAATGGCAGCAGAAGCAGCGGCAGCGGCTACCACGTTCTGCTGGCCAATGGTGGGCTGAACACCCACGCGCTCCTTGGCAAGCAGGTCGACCAGCAGAGGGCTGGGGCGGCTGTCACGCTGAGGGTAGAGACCAGTCTGGCTGTTCTTGTACTTCAGCACGGAGTCCAGGTAGATATCGAAGAGGTAGGATGAGTCAAGAGGACCGCCCTTGGCCTCGGGGTGGAACTGGGTGCTGAAGATGGGACGAGACTTGTGGATCATGCCTTCGTTGCTCTGGTCGTTCAGGTTGATGAAGTACGGCTTCCAGTCCGATGGTAGAGTCGAAGCATCAACGGCGTAACCGTGGTTCTGGCTGGTGATGTGGCAGCGACCAGTGCTAAGGTCAAGAGCGGGAATGTTGTGAGCCCGGTTTCCGTACTTCAACTTGATGGTGCTGGCACCGGCGGCCAGAGCGAGGAGCTGGTGGCCCAGGCAGATACCGAAAATGGGGACCTGGGAGGTCTCCATCAGACGCTTCAGGTGGTAGACGGTGTCCTGGCAGTGGGTTGGGTCACCAGGGCCGTTGGAGATGAAGACACCATCGAAGTGGTGGGCGACCTTGTGGATGGGGTAGTCGAAGGGCAGGACAGTGACGCTGGAGCCACGACCGACCAAGCTGCGGAGAATGTTCTCCTTAACACCACAGTCGATGACAGCAACGTGGGAGTGGGGATCAGCAGCGGCAACATGGAAAGGCTGCTTGGTGCTGACCTGGCGCACCAAGTGGATTTGCTCAGGGTCAGTGAAAGCCTCATCCTCGTTGGCGTCGTATTCTTCGCCGACGGTGATACGGGCCAGAGAAGAGCCTTGCTCACGCAGGTAGGTGACAATGGCACGAGTATCGACACCGGAGATGGCAGGAACACCTTCACGGGCACACCACTCGCCCAGACTCTGGACAGCAGTCCAGTGACTGTATTGCTCGGCGACATCGGCAACAACAACACCAGCTGCCTGGAGATTGGGAGACTCGAAGTATTTCAAAAGTCCATTGGGATCCTTCTCGGCGGAGGGAACTCCGTAGTTGCCAATCAGAGGCTGGGTGAAAACTAGGATCTGACCACGGTATGAGGGATCGGTCAAGGACTCGGGGTATCCAACAAGGGATGTAGTGAAGACGGCTTCGCCAGAGATGTTGGAGCGGGCACCGAAAGACTTGCCGGAGAACATGGGACCATCACGGATAGTGAAGGTAGCAGGCTCCATAGCGGCACGGCGCACAGTAGCCATGAAGCGGGCCTGACCAGAGGTTCGGCTCATGGAGGCGAAGGCAGAAGCCCGGGCAGGCATTGCCTTGAAGAGGTTGGAGATCATTTTTATTTTATAAGTAACAATTGTAATTCAGTAGGAAGCTTTGTACTGTTCAGTTGATGTTGGCTTTCCAGAGGTGGTCCGAGATATAGTCCTGGGAGGTGAAGATCGAGGGTGCCAAACACATAAGCGCGACTAGCAGGTGGCAGTCAGAGTATGGTAGAGAGAGATGAGGGGGTTGCTATTTAGCGCAACATGGAGATCTTTTGCGTTGAAAATCTGGAGTAGAGAAATAATGAGAAAGAAGACGGAAAAGAAGGAAACAAGAGGTTTTTCACCCCGACTCCGTGGGCACGTGCTCTCACCGACTTTGCCGGTGTCGGCCAATCGGAGGGCGTCAAATTCTGTTATCGGCTTAGATCTGACTCATCCAATCGCCGGGTTCGGCCTGGACAATGGTATCTATCAGGCACAGAGAACTATTTAGCCTTTCAATGGGATCATCACATTTACATAAATTCGAAGGAGCCAAAGATAGGAAATATCACCCATCGAGGCGGTTTAACGGCCTGGATTTTGTCTGTACACCACACTATTGCCACAACCAATGGCACACTGCAGTAGCCCTGCACCTTGCCCGCGCCATTCGCCACTCGGATACGCTCAATTCCCGGTCTTCTGTATAGGAAACTCGCCGTTCAATTACAAAATTTCGGTAGGTTTGGTTGTGTCACACAGAGAGTCTTTTTACACTTAGGGTAACAATGTAGAAAGCAACGCTGGCGGCCACGGGCATACGGCGCATTAATGAAATGCAGGCAGCACCAGATATAAGAACCAGGCTGTATACGAGGGAAAATGATCAAGACAGCTAGCCTCTGGTGTTCTCATTGCAAAAATTGAACAATGATTTTAACTCAATATCTATCCTATGCCCTATTGGCATTGCTCCTGCCCTCGGCGACTTTTGGACGCTCCATTCTCTCAATCCCCGGAGACAACAGCCAGAGCCCACTTCTGCCATCGGGATGTGATGATGGCACTGGACTTGTTGACCCAGATGGCAAATGCAATGGCACTGGAGTTGTGGACGACCCAATACCCCATGACCGAGAAGGGTTCAAATTTGAGAACCCATCCACAGATTGCAAATATGCGTCTCAACCGCACATTTGGGACTCGTTCAAACATCTCGAGAAAGATATGAGCAAGCTATTCACGCTGATCCACAAAAATGTCAGCTTCACCGTCGTCGGACATCACCCAATCGCCGGACACTACAAGGACCTAATGCACTTCTACGTCAATGCTCTGCGTCGAGTCAGCATGTTGTTTTTTGACCATGCGGATCTGTTTGAAATCCACCCCCAGGGAATCTATGGCGGGTGTAACGCTGCATGGTCAGTGGCGGAGATTCAGTTCAAAGGGGTGATGAATTCTGGTGAGTAAGGAAATCTTCCTGCCTTCAGCATTGCTGAGTTGCTGACCCACTACAGGTGACAAGTTCGATATCATCAATGTTTGGTTCACACGTTGGTATCGTGGTCAGATGGTCGAGATCCGCACGTACATCGACGCGCCGAAGATCATGGAAGCGCTGCACAAGAACGAAATATGGTGGAATGGCACGACCCTCCGGGAAAACCTCTTGTATATGCCAGGGCCATCGGGAATGCCAGATCTAAAGGAACTTGAGGGGATGATGAGATATCCGGATGGAAGAGAATATGAGGATTAAGCCGAAATGTGAATGGCAAAGAGATGAAAAAAACCAAGTGTACCTCGTACATCGATGTAGTTAAGTTTCGTGTAGTTCAAAAATGAAAAAGGGGAAGATGTTTAATTTGCTTGGCACCATGCTACCCTTTCAACCCCCCGCAATGTTCCCCGTATTTTTTCAAAGATGTCCGAGTCAACGCCTCGAAAGCGTTCGCGTTTAGCCTGCACTTTGTGTCAGTCACGAAAGCGCAAATGTTCAGGCGGTCAGCCCTGTAGCACTTGCGCCCAAACCGATGCGGAATGCCAATACAGTGCGCGCAAGAAACGCGCCATACCGCATAGTCTGTACCGAGCGAGCCTGTCACTCAGTGAACGGCCTACAGATGGCTGGTCCGATGCAGTCCCAAATACCGTCGGCGCCTCGGCCAATATGGAACAGGCCGCTACAGTGCAGGCTTCTCCCCGCTGTACAAGCAGTTCAGAGGGCGTAACTCATTCCCTACAGGCCAATTCTGGCGCCGCGTTTGTTCGCAAACTTGGGCTCAGAATTGACCCGGCTCATGCACCACGATTGCAATTGTTTGCCTGGAACATCGGCGAGAGACGGATATCGCCAACACTATCCTCGGCCCTTCCCTCGATGCCTGTCACGGTGCCGACGACTATCACCAAACTTATCACACAGGAAGAGATGCGGCGGCTAGCAGCAATCTACTTCGAGAAGATCGATCCATGCTATACATTTCTGGACCGCAAAATTTTCTTTACTCGAATCGTACAGCGCTGGGAACTTTTGTCATCTCCTAATGATTCTGCGGAACACCCCTATGATGCCGTACTATGCGGCGTGGCTGCCTTTGGGTATCTGTTTTCGCGGCGCGAGATCATAGCAGTGGAACTTCGACTCATTGAGACCGCGCGCACTCTACTGGATAAGACTATCCTCGCAGCAGAAACACCCTCGGTCGACATAGTGACAGGCTGGGTGTTGCGTGCTGCGTATTTACGCATGACAGCCTCACCACATGCTGCATGGATGGCCAGTTGTACACTGATGCATCTCATCGAGGCTGCAGGACTACATCTTGGAACTTCAGATCCAGAAGCAGCAGGCCTGCTTCATACATCACCGCCCGAGACACAAGATGGCGATATAAAACAGGGAACCAGCGACCCCGTAACCAGGCAAAGACTCTTTGGCATGGCTCGTCATCTCAACACATGGATTTCCTTCGACCTTGGTCGCTCCCGCGTTGTCCTTCACGGTGCCGCAGCTCCCTCTCCTACAATCACACCCCAATCCCGCAATCCACCCCAGCAAGCACCACCCCGAGCCCCACGCGCAGAGCTCTTCCACCTCCTCCCACTGTCCGAAAACCTCGATCCAACAGGGCCGTCACCACAAGATCTCCCAGAACTCGAAACAGCCCTCGCCTCCGTCCTGGATCTCCTCTATTCCGAACCCTCGCTAATATTAGTCCAATGCAACCTAATGCTATGCATTTATCGCCGTCTCCGCGCCCTAAATCCACACGGCCCATTATCCTCTAATCTCATTGACCGCGTTCTTGCACTGGCAGGCCGCGGGCTCCGTGCCGCACGAGGAATGGTCGCCTCCAGCTGCCCCTGGCACCAAGTTGCCAATGTTCCCTTTCAAGTTGTCTGCTCACTTCTAGCGATTGACAATCGGGCTGCGTTGGCGCTGCTCGCCGATGCGATGCGGACTCTGCGCGAAGTCCTCGCTGCCTATGATACACCTTCTATGCGTGAGGCGTATTCCACGGCATACCTACTGATTGCGTTGCATCAGCGGCGAAAGGAGGATGATACACGTGCTCTTGCTGAGGTGTTGCGGGTCAATGCTGCGGCGGCGGCTCCAGCGGTTGATCAGAAAGATAGGCAGATTGCACCGACCGCGTTAGCCAACCAGAGTGAAAGGCAGCAGCAGGTTGCGCCAGACGTGCTGGTATCAGATGCGGAGTTCTCGTGGCTGGGTGATTTGATGATTGATATGCCTAGTCTGCAGAACTTTGACCTAGATCAGTTTTTAATGACCGATGTCCCATGGCCTTTACCCGAGATGGGGATTTGAGGTGGTTTGACGGGAGTTCGGAGTTGATACCCAATTGTTTATATCGGGGAGTACCGATAAGCCCTTTTTTCCTGATTCCGGCCACTATAAACCCATTCGCACCTTTTCTTTCGTCTTCACTTTCATTTCATTTTTTTTGTTTTCACCACGGAAAGCATTGTGAAAGTAAGGAGATAAATGATCAATACGAGATATGAATGGATATATCAAGATAGGTACCTCCGAATGTCTGGTCGGTGGGACCTGTATCCTCGTTGTTATACTCCACAAACGGTAGAATTGTAGATCGCAGTCAACAAGCAGCCAAAAAGTCCCCTGCAACTCCTGAAACAGATTGAAAAAAGCAATATTACCCTACAGAACCTCTAAATAGTATTTAAACCCTTCCCCTGAGCATTTCTCGTCGAATTGGCCGAGTTGCTGTTCGATCGAAGCTTCTCGAAACTTCGATGGGCCCAAGTCACACACGTCAAGACTTCACCGCTGACGTCACCCACCTGGAGACCACCTTGGTCACTGACATTCAAGTACTTTTCCAGTTCCTTGCAAGATTTTCTCGAGCTTCATTTCTTCTCCAGTCTCATGATCTCCAACCCGTGCCTTTCCGCACTCCTTAAATCCTCAATTCCTCTTACATACGATCCGTCTTTCCGCTTCGAACCTTCTACATCATTCGAGAGGCACACCGTACCATCCCTCACCCCCCACGCAGGAATCTTTTCCCTCATCGTTGGTTCATAAGTGTCCACCTCCGATTCGAGGCTCATCATTTTTGACCTGCTGTTTACATTTTAACATAAAACACATCCTTACCCCGCAATATGGTTGCCGAGAGCAAACTCTATGACGTGTTGAGCATCAAGCCTGATGCCACACAAGACGAGATTAAAAAAGCATACCGGAAGGCAGCATTGAAGCACCACCCGGATAAGAACAAGGATAACCCTTCGTCTGCTGATAAATTCAAAGGTACGTTATCCCGCACAGTTTCGGTTTGTTACGCATGACTAACAGTCTGATTACAGAGGTCTCTCAAGCATACGAAGTCCTATCTGATCCCGAAAAACGAAAGGTCTACGACCAGTTCGGCCTCGAGTATCTGATGCGCGGCGGCCCTGCACCTCCCCCACCAGGGTCAGGCGGAGGCGGCCCATCTGGCTTTGAAGGCGGCATGCCCGGTGGATTCAACTTCGGCGGAATGCCCGGAGGCATGCCAGGCGGTGGAGGAGGCCGCAAGTTCCACTTCTCGACCGGCCCTGGCGGTGGCGGCGGCTTCAGTTTCAGCGATGCCAACGATACCTTCCGCAGCTTTGCCAAGGATAGCGGCGGCATGGGTGGTATGGGCGGCATGGGCGGCATGGATGAAGAAGATATTATCTCCATGCTCGCAGGAGGACTGGGCGGCGGCGGTGGAGGCGGCGGCTTCCGTAGCAGTCGTCCGGGATTCTCGAAGCCGCGCGCACCTACCCCTGAACCGACTGTCATCGAGAAAGACTTGCCTCTTACTTTGGAGGAAATCTACAAGGGTACCTCTAAGAAGGTGAAGACGAAGAGCAAGGCCTTTGACAAACAGGGCAGGCTCACTACTAAGGAGGTGACTTTGGAAGCCAATATCAAGCCTGGGCTGCGTGCTGGCTCAAAGATCAAGTATAGAAATATTGGAGATCAGGAAGAAGGAGGACGACAGGATGTTCATCTCATTGTTAAAGAGGTATGAGACCGCTCCTTACTATGAAGACACTTGAACCATTGCTAACAACCGTTTACAGATCGATCATCCTACTTTCAAGCGTTCTGGTGACAATCTTATTACCACGGTCGATCTCAGCCTAAAGGAAGCACTGACAGGCTGGGAACGCATTGTCCGCACCATCGACGGAAAATCAATTCGCGTGTCTAAGCCTGGTCCAACCCAGCCGGGCCATGAAGAGCGCTACCCCGGTCTAGGCATGGTGATCTCCAAGAACCCCAGCACCCGCGGCGACCTAATCATCCGCGCCAACGTCACTTTCCCCACTAGCTTGACTAGCTCCCAAAAAGATATCCTCCGGGATGTGCTGCCTTAGAAGGATCCGGTCTAATTGCATATACCTGGCGTTTGGGGCGAAAGAGGGCGTATTTAATGACAATGACACGAACAAAGTTTTGTATGAGAATTTTTTAATAAGCACTTTTATCTTTTATTTGACAAGCCATCTTCATGTACAATATATGCATACAACCTTGGAAGTTTTACCTGGTGAAGTCGTGACCGAATAACGTAATGTCCATATGTGTAGTCTAACCCAATTGAGCGAATGCGGAGAAACCAGTGACACCTTGGAGAGATCAATCTTGGACTTCGTCACTTCTGTTTACTGTCCACTCGATATCCCTTGATCGAAACCATGAAACGAAGAATCACCTTCATCCAGAGCGTCAATGCCTCCTTCGACCCGGAGCAAGCTGTGTTAACCACGTCATCCCTCTCCGTCCGTGACATAGACGCTGCGCGGGAGGATCGCATTACGGTCGGACTGGACGAGCTCCCAGAGGAGGTGAGAAGGCATTGTCGATTGAAGATCTGTTAAGAATTACACAATGCTGACCTGGTTACTATGTGTTTAGTTGCGTGCTGTCCTCGAGCAATCCCATGAGCTCCACCTTCGCTGGGCCTCCGAGAGGTCTTTCGATGCTGTCGTGCCATTCAGTAGCCGAGTTTCGCCTGGCCTGCATGTCCATTATACTCCGCTCGGATCGGAATCATCTTCGTGAGCTCATCCCTACATCTTAGGCTTGGAGGAAATGCGATTGACGGATTTGGTTATCGATAGAGAGGCACTGTGCACGCTGCTCCGCACGATAGTAGCGCCCAGCAAGGACGCCCAATATAAGAATTGTTCGAAGCAGGAGGTATTTCGCCATTGTTCCCTTCTTTCGAGGGCTTTCCCTGGCCATATCTTGCATGTGTTCATTCTGACTTGGAATCTGCTACACAGGATGCGTTCATTACACCTCCGCTTCTTTCAACACGATTCGGTTCATCGGCCGCTCTACAATATTACACCCGACTCCCTTCCATACAGCCGCTGGTCAAATATATTCACAACACTGTCTGTGACCAGAGTCGTACAGGTGGCCGCGAGTGCCACACCCGGGCCGATGCTCTCCTCTCTGCGGACTCGGTCGATATCGACTATGACAGCACTTCACACGCCTTAACTGTGTCTGGGCTCTGGGCCAGTTCACCTACGGGCGGTTGGACGGATAAGTTTCAAAGGCCAGCCTCCGCTGACGATCAAGTCGAGTTCGGTCTCTTGGGCGCCGAGGCAGGGCTTGAGCCAGAGGAGATCAAGATGGGCGGGCTGTTAGCGGTTGTCGGAGAGGACGAGAAGCTAAGTATGTGGCTTCGGCGTTATCAGATCGCTTGAATTTTGTCTAACCATCATACAGAACCAACTATGTTCTCATTCCCCTCCCGTCACCAATCTCTCACTGAACCATCGAGCTACACCGTCTCCTTCGCCTCCCCGACTGGTCTTCACCCAACAATGTCTATATCCATGCCTCGGTCATCCCTCAAACGACCCACAGCACCAGACGACACAACCTGCGGTCTGCACACATACCTCACCCTCCCCTCCGTCATATTTGGCGATCAATACCAGCTCGCGACAACAGATCCACTCTTCCTCGAGTCACACAATCTCCTAGCCCTCCAAGCCTTAGCAGGCGAAATGGACCTGGAAGCCCCAGACTGGGTTGTTCAGCGCTGGGGCTCCAACTGGCTCTTCGAACTAGCAACACCCCCAGAACTCGAAGAAACGGCCAACACACCAGATTCCTCAAACTGGACTGCCACCATTCCTCTGCACCTGCGGTACCTGCCACCATCCGAAACAGGACACCGCACAGCTTACATTCCCTGGCCTGTCGTCTTCTGGGCTTGTACTTCCGAGGACAGCACGAAGATGAGTGTGAATCCCTTCGACCGCACACATCTAGGCTGGGACAGCTTGTTCGGTCCGCGAACCCTATTCTACCAGCTTCAGCCTACAGGTGATCGTCTTGTGGAGGAGATCGATGTGCCGGTTCTACGACTTGAGGGCGAGGAGGGCTACTTCCAGGGTAAATATATCGAGCTTGGTACTTGTGCGGTGATCTCTCTTGGGTTCATCTGGGTGCTTTGGCGGCTTGCTCGTGTTGCTTGGTCGTCTGGCGTTGGTAGTAAACCGGTCGAGACTGCGCATGATAAGAAGGAATGATTGGTTTATGATATGGATGGTTTATTCAATAGCGTTGACATTTATCCCCCGTCTTTTTACTTGATTCCAGAGTACTCATCTTACGAGGTTCTTGATGAGCCTTTAACTAGTATATCCAGAACCACAATCACGATATTCCAACTTAATTATGTTCGCATAGACAAACTAAAATGTAGTCTACAGAAAAATACCATACTCTCCAACTGGGACTGATGTACAAAAGCCAAAGGCGCAGAAGTCTATCTATGTAACAAGCCCACGTCCAAGCAGCTTCCCAGCCGAGATTGACTGTCACCTCTGCCGGAAATAATGGATATCATCATCCAAATGCGGCCTTTAGTCCCGCTGCCTCCTTGGGAACTTGTAAGATGCCGTGCTGATGCTCATTTGACAAGCATTGCCATTTCTACGCATCCTAAGACCAAGTACCTAGCTATCAACTATAGGTATAGAGCGAACGAACTAAGAGCAGACAAATGTCAAGTGTACCAGGGCTCAGCATTAAGAAACGAGGGTACTTTCGCCGTATAGTTCCGACAATGCATGCATAAGGTTCCTAGCGCATGACCGGATTTTTGCGTGCGTGTGGTTCCGGAAAGGGGAAAGTAAAAGATCATTGTTTCAGAGAGTAGTCAAGATTGCCGTCATGACCTGGTGATGACATTGAATTGAACTGCAGTATGCATAAGTCTACTATCGAGTTATAGAGTGATGGCAAGCTTCGATTGTGATTCTGTGAAAATGAGAAGCAAGCGCCATTGATATTGGTGACTTTTAGAGTACATCGCCAGAGGACTGGATGTTCCTGAACAAGTGATTGACAAATATGGCGTACTTTCAGAATGGTATCTTGCCGCCGAGAAGGGTTTCATAATCAGTAAATGAGGATTCTGGAATGAGACTGAACTCATTCGTACAATATGGTGCTTTGCGTAAGTCATGGCTGGCCTCAGGATGGTATAAGTTTCACAGTCATGGCCTCATGTTCTTGCCAATGGTATGTCTGGCTACCGTTTTGTAAAAAGACCATGGATACTTTGAATTACATGAAGACATTGGTTGCTGTCATATTCTCTGGTCGGGGCTGGGTTCGTCTCATTTGTCGGGGACTAGGAAAAGGGCCGGGTGGATGTCGTAGTCTGAACAGGGCTTTGGTTTCTGAACAGGGAGTAACTGTGACAAGAATCTAAGTTAGCTAGTGTCAAAAACAAAGAAATGAGTGTCTTGACTCTTAACGTGCTGCCTCTTCGTTCTCTCGATGGAACTGTTCTCCATCCTCAGTCCAGCGTTGATCATGAAGACCCCATGTAGATTGAAATCCGCACATAAAGTCCAGCTCAAAGCAGCACCGCAGCCGATCGAATAGTGGGCACTGCATCTCGGAAGTGATATCGTATGTCACCAACCGTCCCGTCTTGCCTGGACTCAGTCGGGGCTGTCGAGGCGTAGAAAATGGTGATGGTCTTGCGAGCCAGCCGAACCGGTGTGGAAATGCCATTTTAGTTTGAATTTGCTAAGGGTAGAAAGGTTTGTTGTCTAATATCCAACGTTAGAAGGCTTATGCAACACTTCAGGAGTCAGAATATGATTGAATAAGAGAAGGCGACTGGTCGATACTCACTGTAATGTAAGGTGTTTGTGGTGATGGCAGTTTGTTGTGGCAGTTTGAAAAGAAGTTTGATATCCATGGATGAGAGTCGGTACATAAACCTTGGAAATGAAGGCACAGGTTACGACAGAAGCATTTACAAAAGGACACAGTCAAGTATATAATACCAAGTTCTATTGCAGTTCTAGATAATGAGGACTTGCTTGGTTTCGCCGTAAAGGCTACTCATCCTGAACACCACGTAAAGGTGCAAGTCTTGCTCAGGTGCTACACACATGACCCGTGCAGCTGGGTTGAAGAAGGAAGGAACGTTCTACCCTCAGATTATTGTTTCATCATTGGGAACAGAGAGTTATCCCTGTAGGAAGGAGATGAGAACAGAGCCCCTTTTGTTAAGCTCCTAATGGACAATGGAGAACTCAGAGAAGTACAGTCTGTATCCGCAGTGGTCAGAGGGAGAGTGCTTCTACCGTAACATGCTTCGTGCCATTAGACCAGGACCGAAGCCCCAACCTAGTTTCAGCCTTCAACGAGCCGCAGCAAAGTTCCAATCAGAATCCTCAGGATTTCCCTTCACTGGACAGCAGCAGACGTATGTTGAATACGAATCTGGAGCTGGCAAAAGTTCAAAAAATTAAAGGGTACTCAACAGGAACACGATGTGCAATGTGGGCCCGGAGTGTTGGAGAAGAAAGAAAGAAGAAGAGGGAGAGGGGGGAGAGGCAGGTATTTATACCCTCCCAGTAGCTAAAGGTAAATAGGAAACTGGGGTTGGTGACGGTTTTTGACCAAAAGGGAAGGCACCTGATCTGGGACTGGGCAGGTGCCTTCCTCCTTAGGATATGATATCGTAGCTTAGTTTGCAGTCACATATAGTAGTTTCATTGTTCTACCTGATGTCTCAGATATGTGTCATATGCTTGACTTTCACAATTCTCTCATCCCAAATTATAATACGAGTGCATACAATGGTTTCAATCAAGACAATGCCAAGATCACTGCTCTTTTCATATTCAGTCATGGAGGATACAGCATTGTGAATTGATTGTATACTGAAACACAGTGATCCGGTCTGGTTACTGTTACCATCTGTATGATTGTCTGTTTTATGACTCTACAGATCAGCGACCATATGAATATCTCAAGGACATATATAAGTAACCCCATAGGGTTCTTTAGACCGTGAGGAGACTTCTTTACTTTACTTCCTCGGTATGTACCTGGTGGAAACCAGAGACCCGGTTTTCAGACCCGCCATCCGTCGAATCGGGCGCCACCACGGCTCGGGCCGAACCTAGACATCGCAAACCTCCATGCGATGCAAAACCTACACTTAGGCTGTGACAGCTTGTGAAACCCTCGAATTCTCCTATCGTGTTCAAGATGCGATATATCCACTCATGTGCTATTCATGACCTTCTTGAGTTGACTCAGCCACCGAGCCATCTGACCAGTTATGTTTGAGATATTCGCCTTCGCTGCAAGCAAAGAGTGTATTGGATATCGAACGTACGAGGACATCGTCACAACAAGTCTCACTTATAGAAGATGTATACTCATTTCTATATGTCATTTCGTGTGTTCTAGTAAAATACATGAGGAGCAATAATGCATAGAGCTTACATGAGGTACTTCAACTTTCCTCCACAACAACATAATCACGAATAACAGCGGTGCCATTGATCACACTTGCAATCTGGTCTTCAGTGCATGTCGACCCCAAAGCAAGGATATAGCAGAGCGGATCCGGACTCTCCGGGACCTTGTTCTTGATATGCCAAGTAGACGCAGGCCCCTGCGTGGCATAGGAGCCATTACGTGCAGTATTGATCTTACCCGTGGCCAGATCGCGGTTGAACAGCGAACGATAAAAGATCTCATATGCAGTCTGTGGCTGGTAGGCCGGGACTTCATGACCAGCATCGTAGACACGGGTGAAAGAAAAGTTGCCATGCTGCCGGACCTGGCCGCCAATATACGAGGAGTTTGTGCGTAGAGGCGTGTACCCAGCAGACCGGAACCCAGAAGCACTAGCATGATTGACCAGCAAGCTGGCGTCTTCGCCCCCAATCCAGTTGCAAGCGTAATCTTTGTCGCCGTAAACGAGAGCGACCTTGATACCGGAGTCGAGCACGTACGCCAGGTCTTCGAGGTAGCCGTGCACGTCTGAACGCGGATAGTCTCCGACAGAATTGAAAGCATTGTAGGCACCGTCACTTGATTGGGTGAAGTTAATCGGGACGCCCAGTGCCCCTTGCACCCAGTGCTGGTTCAGCCAGCCCAAGTAGTAGGACGGTGGGAAAGGGTCGGGGTTCTTGTGGGTGATGTCGTAGTAGCCACGGTCTGCAAACTCTAAGTATGCACCTTCGACATTGTTGCTGCAGAACTTGTCGGCGTCGTGGCATGCTTTGTTGACAGTTTCGTTGTTGCCGTGCATTTGCGGATCGCCCTCTGCGGCCAGCGCGCGACAGTGAATGATCTGGTCTTTGCATCCGCCGGGGCGGCCCCATGAATTCATAGCGTAACCGAATAAGGTCTTGTTGATGGCCTGGATGTCGTAGGTATTGTTGTATGCCATTACTGGGTATGTCGCTTCCTGTACTAGGAGATCAATGCAGCCGTTGATGATGCCCAGTGTATCCAGGTGAATATAGTGTGGATCCCCCGAGGCATCGATGCTGCCATTTTTTATCTTTTCGTTTTGCTCCTGAAAGAAGGCAGTGAAAGATGGACCGTAACGACCGCCGTATGACTCAGTCCAGATGCTAACCCGGTCATCATGGGGCTTGTAATGCGGAAACTCGGTGAACCAGGTCTGAGCAAAGTGCCATAGTGACCGCGCGGAGTTCGCAGTGCTATTAGCCACAGTCGACTTATCTTGGCTAGCTGTCGTGCCGACGTAGAAAGTGTTGTTCTGCTTGGGCACCCCGGACCACTCCGACAAGTTCCAGGCACCCTTAACCTGATCAAAGGTACCGTTCGTCAGGACATCATAACTGAAGCCAACCTGATTTGGCTGGTCAATGTATAGCATATTGACATAGTTATTCCAGGACCAGGGATTGAGTTCCGTAGAATTGGAGTCCTCGTTGACTATGCAGGGTCCATTTTCCTGCATGAGGCCAATCATGGAGGAACTTCCTGGGCCTCCGTTCATCCATATAGACAATGGCGCATTTTTCGGGTTATGACGAGACTCGAAAAACCAGAAGAAAGTATTGATCGGGTAGTCTTGATCAACATTTACATCGTCCAGAGAGCCTGGGGGTAGATGGACGTAACCCGAGTATGATCTCACCCCTGGTGTTGTTTCACAAATTCCAGGCTGTGAAATTTATCAGTATGACATTATGTGATACCAACGACTTCAAAATAATCACACCTGTTTGTATGAGATCTTCACTCCCTTCTGATGCTTCGATTCAACCACCTTCAATCCATCTGGGATGGGCGGAAAGTACTGCGCGGCAGCACTTACTACCAGAGCGGCGGTCCACAAATTAATCATGACGTGAACGAGCTGTGGGAAGCAAAAGAATACCCCGAGAGAAGAGTTACAACCCTGGCAACAATTCTGTCAATGTGGCTCGTGCTCGTGCAAGTGAGGGGAGGGGAAGTGCCAAGACAAAACCACCTGATATTCGATGCCCTAGCTATGTTGTACATATTCATCCACTACCCGATGTCTGTGAGGTGGGATTATGCAGATATAGAGCTTCTAAAGTTGCATTGAACTAAAATAAATCTAAATACCTCCAGATAGGAAAATCTCAACATTCTGTAGTTAACTCGAATCCCTCAATCATCGTCGCCCTAAGTCCCTGGCGTTTGAACGAGCTTGACATGGAACAAATACCGTTGACGAATTTGTGCTGGGTTTTTCGCGATATACTCAGAGGTGTAATAACGCCGGCCGTTCGGGGTTGTAGTTGATCGTCCCGCGTGAACATCTGGCACTTGGCACCCCTTGAAATCTGGGTGAATATATCCAGCATCGCGCCATTTATTATGGACAGTCATGCCAAGATGGTGGACTGAAAAAGCCGTGGATTTCCCCAGCTCGACTTCGCATAACAACATCAAGACTTCCCCATTCCCTTTGCAATATTGTGCCGACTTAGTAGACATGTCGGCAAAGTATACCCCAGGAAGGAAGCGCTTTCCATCGGTACTGACAATCCCGTCGCCACGCAGCCCTTGGCTTAAGATCCCTGCAAAGTTGCTAGCTTTTGAGCCATGCCACAGAAGTCGCCGATCTCCGATGTTAGCAAGGTTTTCCTTTTCCCACTGGGCAAAACGCTCTGCTTCCCCGGGACGTTCGAGACGGAACAGGCCGATGATCTCCTAGGAATATGAATGCGTTAGACTGGGATTTTGCTTATGTCATTTGAGCGCAGCTTACCTTGAATTGATAAATGTGTTGTGAATAAGAAGTTTTCTCAATATACTCCTGGAGCATCTTGAACTCTGTCGAATCTCTCCTCACTGTCAACAAGGGTCAGATTCATGCTTTGCAACGCACTCAAGGAATTACTATAAGAAGGCACAAAGGATATATACCTGGGAGCATTTTTGCCAGACCAACTACTTGGGATATCTGGCTCATCGCCAATGAAGAAGACCGGCAATCTTTTTCCAGAATCTCGCTGGCATCGCGCAACTTGAGTAACAGATCGAGGGATTCCAACTCCTGTCTGACAATATCTTTGTTATCCGAAAGAGTCCCTTGTGTGAGAATCAAGTGATTGTAGAAGTTGCACAGTTTGTTCTTCGCTTTGTAAGTGTCGCAAGGATTTAGCTGAGGATTGGTGAGCTCCATCAGCTTGGCCAAGACTGCAATCCCGATCAGGAGCTTTTTCTTGTCCACTTGGTTTTCAAGCAAGATACCGCGCCCCTGACTGTTTAGCAAATGGACATAGTTTTTCAAGTCTGCTCCTGATGTGAAGATGATTTTCAAAACGTCCTCAACGCTTGTAGGCAACGGGCTGATCCGGCTGGTGAAGACGGGAACTTCCCTTTGAGGCATCTGGAGGAAAATCCAACCTTTAGAAGAAGGAATATCATTTCGGTCTTCCCATTCTAGATGACTGAGTGACTTGAACTTCACCTCAAACGCACGCTTGACCGAGTCGAGGCTTCCTACCCTTCCAATTGATGTTGACGTCTCGGATGACCCGCATTGGTACTGCAAGTTCCACAGGTGGAACTTTTGTGACTCGCGACGAAGGAGAAGTTGTATGCGACAAATTTGGACTTTTCTCACACCAAGGCTGACCAGTGTGGCATCCCATATCAAACCGGTGTCGTCCTGGTAAACGGAGAGCGTGCTACCTAATACCGAAGTGTTAGAAAGGTCTTCGAAAATACTCCATCGTATCACTAACTCGGGTTTGGGTATTTCTCATCAACCAAACTGATCAGATACTTGAGCTTGATCTGTTCTTCATCCTTCGTTCTCTTCGAAGGGTTGTCTTCGTCGTCCCGAACTGAAGATTCTCGCGCACGCTTTCTGCCTTTGGGCTTGCTCTCTTCATTCCTCTCGCCCTTGATTGTTTTTTTCTGGCCATGCTCTGGAATATCGTTTCCGATCTTCTTAAGCAGCCAATCAATGTTCACAATTTGGCAGCTTTCTAGTTCACGAGCCACATTGACTGAAGCAAAATCACCCTGTTAGTAGACACTTTATATCACAGAATGCGAAGCTTATGCAACTAACTCTTTCTCAAATCTTTGTTGGCATTTTTTTCTGTCGTCACCAGATGAGTGCATTTGTTGATATTTATCGCGGCAAACTTCGCACCACATTCCTCGACCATCCGCTTGATTTCCTCTGGATAACAGGTGTCATTCATCAAATTATATCTAGGAAACGTCTCTCTCCCTCTTTCTATAGATCTGCTTTGATATGAGGGAAAACATACCATGTTGATATCCAGGGATTGTACCGCTGGCGCCGATGACCAACCCCTTCAGATTGTCAGCCAGCTTGTCTACCGGTTTGTTGGAAGCCATCTTCCCCGATGGAAAATAAACCACACTAAGAAAAGTACCCATGAAATTAAACGCAGAAATTCCTTGTGGGGGAATTTGACTACCCTTATAAACTATTGATGACACTGCAATAATGGCACAGACAAACAATAAACAAAGACAATCTCAGATGTTCCTTTCAAGCCCCCGGGATTCTCCATTGAAACCTGAGGCTGAGGGCTGTATGAGGGCTGAGATATCACCTAGTAGATGATTTACAAGCTGAGTGGCTCATCGAGAAGCCCTCCTGTCTATTACTGCCAAAGCAAGAAGCAAGAGAAGACACATGTGCATTCCTTATTACAGTATAGGATGTTGAGTTGAAAAATTTGGAGTTATTGATTAATTTAGTCAAAGTAAAGCAACATTCATTGACTGACAATTAGTGAGATCCCTCTGGACTCGAGAATAAAACGATCACGAGAAACAACGTATCTTCCCATTTAAACTTCATCAAACCATAACCCGGTTAACATCAAAAACCAGCTAGTTGCTGGTAAAATAGTTGAAAGCCACAAGAGGACCAAGCTTGATCTTCTCTGCCCAAGCATCAAGATCGTACCACATACGATTGTAGTTGCCAAGCTTCTTACCACCAGCAGGTGCATGGGCCGTGAGATCAAAGTCTGCAGGCTGTTCGTACAGGAAGAAGGTGTACCGATGGGGCGAGCTCATTGGAGGGGGAGCAGGGCCGATGTAGTTGGCGACGAAGGGCGCTTCGTACTCCAGCACACCCTCGCTGGTGGCTTTGACATCGGACTGGATCCAGTGAAGTATGGGACCCAGGACTCCGAAGCCAGGGAAGGGGGCATCGATGTCCATGCTCACGATCATGTAGGTGCTGTTAGGGTTGGTGCCAGTGAAGGAGAGCTTCGGGGGCTCTTGACATGCTGTGGTTTTTGTTAGTCCCATATTTGGATTGCCTGTCACACGATTTGGGGGGGGAAGGGGAGGTCAGGCAATAGACTGCTTCGTACCTTTGCGGGGTAGGTATGTTCCAGGTTGCACGTTCTCATAGTTGCCGATGGTCAAGCCAAGGATCTTGGACTTGTCCTCGATGAGAGACAAGGCTGCTTTGATGTGGTTATCCGAAGGCATTTTGGATGCTTTGAGCCTGGAGATGAAAAGATGGGAGATGAAAATCTCGGAGGATGTGTCCTTTTGGAACAAGCAGGTATGATACTTTCAAATAAAGTTGCACAAGCTTTCGGACTTAGCGGAGGTAACGAGGTAACGTCCTGGCATATCTTTCCCTTTTCGGAATTTTCATATCTCCAGTGTCCACATCTGCATTATTGGCCTTGACTGTCGGATATCACGGCATCTATTCTTCATTCGGCGGTTTCTAATTTATGTAGTCCATGTTTCCAGGGGTAAGGACTCGAGTAGACACACCAGTGCAGACTATAAGAAGGAATGAGTCTGGCTAAACCAAGGTCGAAGATGAATATACCGATTAGCTGGATTAGCTACGGACTTTCAAGAAATGAAACGAATACAAAATTTGACCATTATATATCTACTTGCCTGGACTAACTTAGAGATCATTCAAAACAAGGTGGGAAGATGAATGAAGTCAGAATGAAGTCAGAAAAGCCCGGGGTAGTCACATTGCCACATTAGAATAACGAGGGCTTAGCATAATACTGGGATGCTTTGATTGGCCCACCATACGAGGTTCTTTTAATCATGAGGCCTTCAGCAACCGAATAGAGAAATTCCGCTGGAAGTTCTCTGCTGAGCCACTTAGCTGCTGCAGTGTTCACAAACAAATCCACAAACAGTTTGCGAATTCCGGCAGACTCGGTCGTAACTATGTATGCATGCTTGATCACCGCCATACTAGGATAGTATTTCCTTCCATCGTGTGCATCAGGCGTAGAACACATCTCGAGAATTGCATCGATGATTGAATTCTGAAACTTGCCATCGAGCAACTTGTCACCGAGCACATATGCATCGACGAAATTATGGTACTCCTTGTAACGGTGCCTTGCTGCTTCTTCCTTCGCTGCATATTTTTCAAGCATCACGGGGATTTCGGCGAAGTAAAGCCAGTGCAAATATAGAGCAAAGATTTCGGGGTCATCTTCCGGGAGCTTGAAAGTGTGTTCCTTGGATTCCTTCCAAGACCCTGACATGGCCGTTTTGAAGAAGAGCGAAGAATTGCAGATGATTGATTCGTGCACATGAAAGGGTTCCTTTGATGCCCCGACCGTGATTGCCACTATTGGTCCTTGAATTCTGCGTCAAATTAGTAACAATAAACAAACATTTCCAGCCATCATGCTCACTTCTTAATGCTGCCTTTCGAGCTTCGCGCGACACTTGAAGTCATGTTGCATTTGTTCAAGGGAGACCAGGAGACTTTGAACAGTCAATTGCAAATATTGTAGTTCGGAAGCCGGAAAAGAGTATGGAGTGACTGCTCGAGGTTCGCTCGAACTGTGGTATCGAATGAGTGTTTCATGCAGTTGGAGGATTGGAAATAAGGGGTAAGATGGTCAAGGAGAGAGAATGAGGGGAGATGGTCAAGAGGAGAGAAAAGGAAGAGGAAAGAAAAGTAGGCAGCATCGCAGGGGTCGTTTGCACCATATCAAAGCCTTAATGCCTGGAAGTTGGTCCGAATCACCATAATGTCGGCACGGAATAACTAGGTCCGATGATCGTCGAAAATGAAGCCTTTGGCGCCATACAAATCTGTAGATCTCCATTTTTCCGGGAGGTTTACTCTAATTCCTGTGATTGGTTCACTTAAATATTGCCGCCGGATTAACCCACCCCTTTTTCTATCGGGTTAATTATTTTCATACATGACACTTTCGCTGTCTTTTGATCGTTCTCTTCTGTGAGCGAGCCTTCTCTATCGGCTCAAACTGATATAAATACCTCGGTGTCTTTACTTCCACCTCTAGAAGGCTTTGCTATCATAACTGAAGCATCTCAATCTAAAGCAGCATCAGCTATGCTTTTCTAGAAGTTATACGTGGGTAATTCCATCTACTTTCTCATGGAAAAGGATAATAGATTCGAAGGATGATTTCTACTTGAGATGAGACATGCTGCTGTACATTTAATAGACCTGCGCTGGATAATTACTGATGTTATATAATTCAACCGACCAAAGTCAAGCTTAGCCAAATACCAATATATAAAAGAGCGTATTCCAAGTCCAGGAAACAGGATATAATGCAACTCGAGCGAAAGCTCTTCAAATAAAGTAAAAGGCAAGGAGCCCAAAGAACCCCTTCACCATCGGCCTGACCCAGGAACAAAAAAAATACCCCCCAATCGCTAAAATGCAGACACGCTAAAGCCAATGGCAGGAAACCAACAAAGAAAAGCCTTTTTTTGGAGATGAGATGGGGATGGAAGAAGTATGAAAATGGAGACTGAATGACCAAGAACTCCCAAATGAGTTAAATGTGTATAGAATGCGTAAGAGGTATCGTGCCAAGGTGTGTTTCGAGAAAAATACGGAAACGAGAATGCCGAGGAAATCGCAAAGAGGAAGCAGAAAAACAGTTACTCAGAATCTAAGATCACTCAGCCCGGGCATGGGGCAAGGTGGTATCGAGTTCAGTCAAAGCGGGGGACTCTGCATGTTTTTCGTGGACAGCAGGAATGTGATTGATCTCAGCTTCAAGCTTGGCTTCGATCTCGTCGAGGGTCTCTTCAACCTCGGGGGTATATTTGATGCTAGGTCCAAGCTTGGGGACATCGAGTGAATTTGTCTTCTCGTCTTCCTTGTCCATCTTGTTCTCCTGCTCGGCGGCCTGGGTGGCAATCTGGTCTTCGAGGAGAATGACGTTATCCTCATCCTCCGACTCGCCGTCGACAGAGTGGAATTCGTCCTTCTCGACAATCTCCTCGTCATCGCTCGCAGGAGTGACATGGGGAGAGGTCTTGGTCTCGGGGAATGGAATGGCGTGGGGAGTTTCATCCAAATGTTCGGTATTCTCCACCACCTCGGTGGCGTCTGTAGGTGAGGTGTTACGGCTAGAATATGAGGGCGCTGTTGGCGACATTGAGGCACGGCTTGAGCCAGAGCCCCGGACGTGGCCGGGGTGTCGCGGAGGCAAGGGGGGCGGGGTGCGTGCCGGGATTGTGACTAGACGAGCCCGGGTGAAGCTAGGCGATGTAGGCTTGCCTGTCGTCTGGTCTTCCACCTTCGACGGCGAGGCTGGGACAATCTCCATTGGTGTGACCTTGACATTGCCAAGCTCGTGGATCTCAAAGTGCTCGTCTTCATCCTCGAACGCGGGGTCATCGTGTGCATCTGGGCAGGCATCCGTTTTCGCTCTCCTATGCTCCGCCTCCTCGCCTTCCAATTGGCGGACCTTCACGTGTTCTTCATTGCCATGGATAGCAATCGTATCCCAATGAGGCTCATTTTCGTCCCAGGTATTCATCGGTTGACGGCCAATAGACGATCCCTTCGACCTGCGGGAAGACGCACGGCTCACAGACGTGGGCTCGACCAGCGGCTCATCAATCGTTTGCGTGCCACGGTTGACACTAGCATAGCTCTTGGCGCTCTGCACACTAGCACGCCAGCTATTACGCGGCGAGCTATCCATACTGCGCCGCGAGAAAGTGCTATAAATAGGACTGTCTAGGTTAGGCCGAAATTCAAATGTCTCATGGCTGGGCCTCGCTTTCGTGCCGGCCTCGCGGATGAAAAGCCCCTCCGCCTCCAGCGCCTTCACTCCATACGGATCGGGGTCGTCCACAGCCGGCACGCCAAAGATTTGTTGTCCGTCTTCCGTCAATTCCATATCGCCAGGTGTTTCGCCCGGTGGCGGAATGAGACTCCCGTCGACGTCGGTGTCGCCTTGTGCGGCCTTCAATGTTTGCATGAGGGTAGCGAGCTCGTAAGGTGGATGTCGGATTTTGCCGGAGAGAATTTCGTCGACGGATATCCGCTCGCCGTAGAAGCGCTCGTTCTCGTCCGTTCGCTCAATGATGATCGTGCCATCGACCGCGACACCCGCGTACAGCCCCTTGCTCTTCATATATGTCCAAATTGGTGCCTGGCGTTTGTGCACTTCGGATTCGAGGACACCACCCACACCGACGGGGCCCGCAGCAGCGCTAATCTCGCCACCAAGGGTGCACCGGAATTTCTTAAATGCGTTGAGCGCGTCATAGCTGTTGATGATGACCACGCAGTCGTAAATGTCAACACCAGCGAGGAAGCCTATCCCGGCTGTGTGTAACATGATACCAGATGGGGGGCTCCACTCGCCGGTCTCGGGGATGCGACCAATCAGCACGCCACTACCACCAGAGCCACTCATCCACAGACCGGTGCGCATAGTCGTGAAAATGGCAACTCCCTTGGCATTTTTGAGGACTTTTGATGGGATCTTCTGAATAACGCGTTGTCTGCCCTTGGGGCGATTGATCTTTCCATTCTCATCGGTGCCACTTGAGGAATCGGGGGCGTAGAATCCATCTTTACAGAAACTGCGTAGGATGCGCGCGGCTTTGTCGGCTTCCTTATCGATTGTCATGGGCCAGAAGGCTTCGGCACCCAGCTTATGTGACAGGCGGTTGACGGGGCCGCCCAGCTTGTCGACGGTGTCCCATGCTTTGTCAAAGCCCTTTTTCGAGATGCTCAACGTCTTCTCCCATTTATTTTGAGAAGACATAACGAATTGCTGCCAGACAGAAGAGGCTGTGACGTTATGGGGAACTGAAGAAGTAGCAAAGGTTATGCGCTTCGCGCCGCGAGAGGCTGATCAAGGCGAGATCTATACTCGCAATATCTGAAACACGACTTGCGCCGCGAACAGCATGAATCCCGATATATTCTTATCCGGAATGTTTCCAGCTAGATCGAAGAATGCGAGATCGGTTGCAAGCCAGGAATGCGGGGAGGAATGTTCGCAAATGTATAGAAAGTTCGTCGAAAATGTGAAAGGCGAGATTATAGCGACTGACGAGGCAAAAGGAAGTTATAAAAAAGATTTCCGGGTCAGACGGAAGGGTTTAATAGGGCCTGGACGGTTATGCTCTTCCATGGTTCCAAGGTTCGAGGCAATGTCATCATCCACGGATCAGGTGGTTTTTTTGGTTTTTTAATTTTTAATTTCGCTTTTTGGTTTTTTTCATTTGGTTTTTGCATTTGCAGTGACAATCGATATTGTACTCTGTATGTTATTTATGTATTTATACGAATCGTAGGTATCTATAGTACTCTTATTAATCCATACATAGTCAGTCCCTAATCACATACCTCATACCCCCACCGGGAAAATTTAAAAGCCCTGGTAGAACGCGTGTCGAGGCATTTCCTACCATTCTAGACTACTTTGACTACATATACCGATATGCTGTAGTACTCAGTATTCTCTGCCGAATAGAATACCTCGGAACATGAAACACATTGTCATTGTTCATTTGTTCTTTGACCTGTCCACCTTCAAGCCCCAGTGGATCCCATACATGACAGCTCAACTAGGCTGAGCTGATCGACCACGCTATAAGGCCATGCCTCCGTACGCATCCGTCGGCTAGGTTTTCCCTATATACTCCGTATTTGTACTAGCAGTTATTTGAGATTGGATATCACTTCAGCTGAGCTTTCGCCACCACCATATTCTAGTGTATCCACACTGTGAAGGGTAACTAATATAATGCAAGATCGTCTTTTGCGCTGATCTCATAACACATCTACACTAATGTACTTAAGCCTAATGGGGGAATTAGAGAATCATACTATCCTTCCTTAGTACTTTTGCAATTTCACTCAATCCTAAGAATGTTCTTCTAGCTGTGAGGCTCCCGGGACATTCCATCACAGCCAATCGGGAAGTTAGGCAATGTGGCTGATAAATTGTATATTATTGCCTCGGGCTGAGATGAAATTGGGCGCTATAGAGTTCCGATTGGGTAGTTTTGCCAATAAAGAGACCTCCCAAGGTTGGAAGAGTAAGATATATTGTATATGGCCATACCTATACGGGGTGGTTATTATTTCGTGCATAGTTCCTAGTCCGTAGACAAGATCTAGCCACTCTAGCGCCCCTGTGGCGGATTGCGATCCTCGATTTTGCACTAGTGTGGCCCCCTTTGGCGAACTATGACTATATGCTTAGGGAAGATGTATCATTGAACACAACGCCAACCCGTTTGGAACTAGTGGGACTAGTACATACTATCAAATACAAAGAATGTTTTTCATTTATAGATCTAGCATCCAATAGATGCACACATGCCTCGCCACAAAGCATGCCCATCAGAAACTGTGGGAGAAATGCGCAAGACGATTCCAATCTAGTAGGTAACATTTCAAAGGCGAAGGTATAGAAACGCAGTGTAATCAAGAGCAAGCTTAGCGCATCTACAACGCACCCAGCTCCTTAAGCTTAGCGATAAGGCCATCGACATCCTCGACCTTGCCACCACCCTTTCGTGGCGGGGGTTCTACACAATGTTAGCACAATCCCACGAACCAAATAGCAAACCCAGAAACACATACCAGTGACCTTCACAGTCTTCAACTTCCGTACATCCTCGACACCGAGATCGGCAAGAGTCTTCTTCTCAAGGGGCTTCTTCTTGGCCTTCATAATGTTGGGCAAGCTAGCGTACCGCGGCTCGTTCAAGCGCAGATCCGTAGTGATAACCATAGGCAGCTTGGTGCGGAGAGTCTCAACACCACCGTCGACCTCGTGGGTAACCTCGATGGTACCAGCCTCATCCTTAATCTCAATCTTGCTGGCCTGTGTAGCCTGGGGCCACCCAAGCAGACCAGCGAGCATCTGACCAGTCTGACCCTGGTCACCGTCAATGGCCTGCTTGCCGAGCAGGACGAGGTTCACGTTCTGCTCCTTAACGACAGCCTGCAGCATCTTGGCGATTGTCAGCGGCTCGAGGCCAGCGTCGCCCTTCTCCGGTACGTCGATGTGGAAGGCTCGGTCAGCCCCCATGGCCATGGCGGTGCGGAGGACATCAGGGGTCTTCGGGCCGCCAGCGGAAAGTGCGAGGATGTCTTCGACCTTAATGGGTCCCTTGCGCTCGCGCAGGCGGATGGCCTCTTCGATTGAGAGCTCGTCGAATGGGTTCAGAGAGTGCTTGACACCAGCGGTTTCGACACCGGTCTGGGCCTTGTTGATGCGGGGTTTGATCTATTAGATTCGGATTTGGTGTCAGTTGTGATATCCCAATCCCAGAGTGAGTGCTATGGAGGGATGACAACCCTGTTGGTTGAGAGGTACAGCTCAGAGTGACGGTCGCGCAAAGCTGTACTTGGAGGGGCTATAGTTGAATGGGAACTTGACTTACCGCATAGTCGATCACGCGCTTGACGGGCACCAATATCCTTAAGCCACTCATTTTGTAATTGGTAGTCGAGCAACAGCCAATTCCTGAGTTGATATAAGGAAGATTGGAAGCTCGGAGGGAGAAAGCGTGCGGTGACGGAGTGCCAAGAGGTAAAAAACGCCGACGCGGCCCGAGTTTAACCTCGTCGCGCCACGGATTCCTCAATATACCGCTCGTTTTTGCGGCCACTATGGCAACAAGCGCTTGGGGTCGGAGCATGAACGCCGCCCGCGCAGATCCTATAGGTAAGTTGAGCATTATTCTGGGATATATGACGCTAGTCTAGACTTCTCTAGATAGCCGTTCCAAATTATCTACCCTTGAGTAATAACGCTCTGTGGAAACTGTTGTACAACGAACGTATCTATAAGTATGCCATGGCGGTATACCATAGACCTTGCCTTTTTGTATTATTCGAGGATACAAGAGGGCAATACAGCAAAGAAACTATGTACGGAGCAATGAATGTTCATTTGAACACAAAAACATCCCTTTTATTATGTGTTACTGGTTTCCAATCTCATCTTCTATACACCCCACTGGAGCACTGGAGCTGGTTGTATGTAGCATGCACGCTCTATCACCATTTCTGTTCATAATCAAATCGATATAATCAAGAGCGGCTCACGAACACAAGCAATTTCTCTTAAGAAATAACCACGAAATATAGAAAGGCGGCGGTTAACTAGCTATAGAAGTGATATGGGTTACCGACGGCCGCAATTCTCCGCCGTAGTCACACGACCGACCTGCCGAGGTTAACCATACAGCCAGCGGTTTGCATATTGTGATGATGGATATTGTTTTGCATTTGACAAGACTGAGAAGAATAGTCTACTGTAGTCTGTTGATATGGTCATGAATTGTATAGTTGTGTCAACGCCTAGCCCTAACATATATGTCTTTCGTGTAGTTCTCTAGTGAGCTATCCCCGCAAACCACATGTGACTGAATCATCTTGAATCACTCGGCCAAACCGCCATTGAACTGTTAAAGAATTTGGACAAGAGTGACATTGTATACCAAAGCTAGAGGCAGCCAGAGAACAACATCTAGCTATTTAGGTACAGAGTAGACAATGTCATCATTAAATACATGCAAGATAGACAGATATATATTTTCATGATAATGAGCTGTAAAATGAGTAAATGTCTAAGCTTTGACATTACATCGCATTGTAGATACAGGTTGTGACCTCCTATCTGATTTACGTACATATCCAAGGGCATCTTTCCATAACTAGATGTACAACTAGATGTACAATAGAAAATGTCATACTATGCTGTGGTGTAAACCAAGTATTCAAACTGATCACCAAGTCTCTTGTTTGTAACGGCCAGTCTGCTCCATGCTAATGAGATAGCCCTCAGCCTGAGAACGGGTGAAAGGTTGCCCCGGCAAAGGAGCTCCTCCATTTTGGAAGGTTTCGATGAGCGCCTCGCGCACAGCTTGCGGCATGCGGCCCGAGGAACCACAAATGTAAACCGACCCCTGCATATCATGCAACACACAGAAGAAGAGCGCGAAGTTCTCGCGAATGGTATCTTGCACGTAGACCTTGCGTTGCTGATCACGCGAAAAAGCAGTAATCACCTGCAGCGGGATGAGCTTACTGAGCTCCGTCCACTCTTCCTCGAAGAAGAAGTCGGATTCTCGGTTTCGGCCTCCGTATAGGAGAATTGTCGGGCCGATCGGTGGATTGACGTCAGGGTTTTGCTCGCGGTAAGCCTGCACAAGTGCCGCTTTCTCCCAGAGGATGGAGCGCAGGGGTGCAATTCCAGTGCCCGGTCCAATAAGCACGGTTGCTGCGGTTAGTTGCTGAACTGATGACTTGAGCCCGCCGGGTTGGAGCTGGACTTGAAGGGTGCTCCCTGGCCGGAGCACGGAAAGATACTTGGTACAGACTCCCTCGCGGATTCTCTTGATTACTGTCTGGTATTTGACAATGGCAATGAGTAATTCGAACTGTGTATTGCCATCAGCAGTCTGCTTGCGTTTTCCGCCGCTGGCAATGCTAAACTGGCGGGCGCGCATGGCCGGGATAACAGATATTGCGTGCTGCCAGGGAATTTTGACACTGTCGAACTCATGCAAGATCTCAAGTATACTACGTCGTGGGCGTGTCGTGTAATCCCATAGCTCGTCGAGATATTCCGGATTTGTAAATTCTAGTAACCGTTCTTTGTGCATTTCATCGTTGGTGTAATGTGCAATCGTCGAGAAGAAGGACCGGCGGGGTATTCCCTTGACGTCGAGATAGTCTACGAGGAGAGCGCGAAGAGTGAGGTTGGGATATGAGTCGAGGCCAGGAATGGGTGGCGGTGATGGAATATCTCCCATTGGAACGAGAGAGATTGGTCGATCTGCCTGATCGTTCCAACCCATCAAATCAATAAGGGTTTGGACATCAATCGAAGAGCTTTTCGGTGTGATGGCGATCATGTCTCCAGGAACGTAAGAGACAAGGCCTGGGACGGTCAGGGTAATGTGGCGCACATCCTGCCAATGCTTTTGCGGAGTCGCGCGCCGATTTTCAGTCAATGTCGCACATAGCGTATGTGGGATAGGTCGGGAGTCATGGTCCAGATGGTATAGTCCCGGATATTCATCCGTAGAAGCTTGATGTTCATTTGCGACTGCAGCTTGGGGTATTGGGGCCGAATCGTTTTCCACCGCTAATTGCAACTTCCATTTTGGTGGGAGCTGCACATCGTCTGGGATCGGGTGCTGTCCATCAGGGAGAGGATGTCTATCTAGCAAATGTTTTCGGAAGTCCGTCATCCATGGTAGGAAAGTTCCCTCGAGTCTGTGTGTCAAACCCACGTAAGTCGTGGACATATAGCGTGAAGATCAAGATAGTACTCACCCTTCTGGATGTTGCTGGTCTGCCTCGCCTGTGGGATAGATCTCATTTGCGCCTAGTTGTAATAGTCGTTTATAGAGCTTGCGTATCGCCCAGTTGAATCTATCACAATCAGCCATTGAAAACCACAATTGTGGTATAGGTTCCATACTTGGGATACGAGCTATCCCCCAGCCCAAAACAAGTGAAATTTATGCCATTCAAGAAGGTAGCAGGTAGCTTTTTCAACAAGAGCGACTTCCAAAAAGACCGCGCATTGGCCGGCAAATCGCCTTGCCCGGTAGTCGAGGCCACAAATATGGTGAGTGTGTATGAAAAAAGGGACTCCTATAATTTCAGAGGTATTAGGTCTGTAGAGGATCATTGTCTTGCGGATAAGTGCATACCGGCTTGCATTGATTCAACTCGGATACATGCGTCGCAAAACGGAGTCGCTCAGTCAAGGCGCCCAATTCCTCGGCCACTTCCTGCGCATTGCCCGTTTCGGAGCCATAGAGAATGAGCACAGACCGTTCTAAGGGACGTAGACTTTGGGTGTCGCCCATTCTGCGCTCTGATGTGGAAGTGTCTGAACAATTTCTGCTTTGCCCCTCCAAAAATCGGCTGACGTCATCAAAAGCCCAATCAACCTTTCTTATCGAATACCCACCGCCTTATCTACCACCGACATCGGAAGGTTATATCGGATGCATTGTTTCGTAAGAGTACCTTGAATATATAGACATTGAGGATAATTTAATTCTATGATTGTATTATGTTAAGAATCTTAGGTCTAAGCCTGGGCTACTGGGAGTTATCTGCGCTCAGCACACCGAATAATTCACAGTGGCATTGGATAGATATACAGGACATGCCAATGAGGCATAAACCAGATCGCTGAAGAGCCATAGTAAGGCTAAATTGAAAATTAAAAAAGGGTATCGTGAATCTGCTTTTCAGAAGTCATCGTCGCCACCACCTCCACCGTCTTCATCACCCACATCGTCTTCTCCGTCATCGAAGTACTGTTCGGCGTTGTAATCGCCGCCCATTTCATCATCATCGTCGGAGAAGTCGTCGTCCATAATTTCCTCTTCCTGTTCATCATCCCCATCAAGCAATGCGGCTTCGTCCGCATCTGCATCGCCCTCATCCTCGTCTTCGCCGACAGCTACGCGCTTCGCAGGTCCAGTATCGTCTTCTTCATCTTCGAAGCCGCGCTTCACTACAGCGGCTGAAACCTGGGCCTGGTAGCCATCTAGGGACGCGTCGGGTCGGAAGTTTGGCTGGAGGGTTTGCCATAGCTCGCGGGGGAAGAATTTCAAGACTGAGTGGTTCAAGCATGCGGGGTTAGTCATATGCAGCCGTGGAAAAGAAATGATTAACGCTGGTAAAAATAACTTACAATAAGATCGTCCGGTGATCTTGGGGAGAGTGCGCCGTTTCTTTTGATACCGCCCAGAATAAGCGGGCATGCCGTGGAAAGCGTCAAAGTTGGCGCGCGCAGCGCTGCCTTTTTTGGCGTTGGAAGATGACGCATCGAGAACAGAGTAGTAGGGACCCTCGTGAAAGCTCTCGCGCAACCCTCGGTAGTAGTCTACCTGGGTTTGTTCCGCGGGGCTCAACTTCCGAGCAAAGGGGACAGTATATTTCTGAGGAAAGAGGGCGTTAGGCTCTGTAGCTTTCGACATGGTGGGGATTGGATTGAAAGATGAAAATTTCCTGGAGAGCCAGGCCAAGAAGCAAACATACAGGGTATAACGGCGTTGGAGCTGTGTCTGGCTCCCCACCAGGGTCGGCGTCCCAAGTAAACTCTGTGCCGGGGGGTTTCTTGCCCTTTGGCGCCCCACGACGTGACATAATTGCCGTAATAAAACGTCACTTACTATGGGTTAGCGAATATGGAATATTCTTCATGAAATAACTGCGGATAGATGATGACTCCGGAAAAATATATTTCTTCACCGCCCACCCGAAACAGCACTAGGGCTGGCAGATTCTCTAAATGCTTCCCCGCGCTAAGATAACAATGCAGATCTCTACGGAGTACATCTACAATAGACTTGAGCTTGATATTGTTCTTAATTGAACACGAGAAAGAATACACGAGAACAAACTAGACCGCTTCATGTGCTTTTCAAATTTATTGCGACTTCATAGCCCGGCAGCCATTACTTCAGCACCGCCAAATTGTACGGGTCCCCGGGGACCCTCGTTCACACGCTGTTGGAGGGTTCGCATGATATCCTCAAACCCTTCCACTTGGCCATCTGTTTCTTGCAACCGGTTGTGCAGCGCTACGATAACATCATGTTTCGCAGTGGCAACTTTCCAAACGACATTCTGGGAATCAGCTGCACCACCCCCGACGAAATCAGCGTAGGAGCGAGGTGGCTTGAAAAGATATGGAAGAAGGGTGGTTAGGGCAGGTGGAGTGAGAACTGCCCATGCTCCAGAGGTGGGGAAAAACCCATTAGTAGCCGGGGATAGCTGATCTAGATCCTTTTCGGAGGGCAGCTGGAACCGCGATGAATCGGTGTTGGCGGGTGCTGAAGGTGAGAGTTTCCAGTTCGCTGTTGTAATAGCCCCCATGAAAGAAATAGCCGACAAAGCAACATCTTTCATCACTAGGACGTCGGCAGCACCCACGACATTGTCCCAGAAAGTGGGGTGTTGGTTGACATAGAGGAAGTAGAGGATGCGCGCTGCGGCTGCTTCGCGGTCCCAGTCAGTTGGAGTTGAGCCGGATGTGTTCAAGTTCATTGAATCAGAGATTCCAGTTCGCTGAGGTCCGTGGAAAATTTTCGCCAGAACGCCCAGAGCTTCACTATTCGGAGGGTTTGTGGGAATTGCAAGAACCGGGTTGGCACCATATATACCTGCCTCTACGAGAAGCACTCGGGGCAGTGAAGCTAAAATAGCAAGGTGACCTGTGGGTACTTCGCCGTGTGCCCATTGTGCACTAGCAATGGCGAGGGATCTATTGATGCGGGAGATAATCGCGTCAAGTAGGGTAGAGGGGTTCTGCAACAAGTGGTTGGGATACATCTCGGCATATCGAGCCACATATGCCATGATTGGGCCGGATAGGTAGATAAGATCCACCGAGTCTAGCTTGGACTCATCGAGATAATAACTCAGCACTTTAGAATGCAGTTGGTGTTCGACAAGGAAGTCGAGGGCAGGGGACGAAAAAGTCGAAGTAGACTGCACAGATCTTCGAGCGACGAGGCCCGGTCCATCGATCTCTAGCAGCTCGCGGAAGAAGTTGAGCAGTGTCATATACATCAAGACATCGCTCACTTGGACCATATGACAGGTTGCAAAATGAAGGAGACTACTGCTCTGGTATTTGGCCTCGATTTCCGGTACTTGGGTGGTTGAGATGATGTCCCAGCGTAATCTTCCGGCTTTCACTAAGAGTGTCATCAGCCTGCCCTGTGCGATCGTTCTTTCGCCTTTAGAAAGATCACCAGGGGCATCACTCTGGAGGCTGCATAGCCCGAACAATAGACCGTAGACATCCTTATCAGTGAATACCCTCCTCCACAATAGTCCCTGTCCTGCATGACTTGCATTACCAGTATGCTCATATTCCCCAGTTTCCAGGTGATTCGCAACGTCAACCTCCAAAAGCGCCCATAATGTGTCAAGTGCAGCCTGTGCGACTTCGCCCGAAGATGTTGAAAGCCATAGCTCCACGAGTGAAGCCACCAAATCCGAATCACCAGCAACTATAGCAGCTTCACTGTATTTCTGCCCGGCTTTAGCTAACAGTGAAAGAGCTAGGAGGTTGATTGGTGGTGATGGGGCCTTGAAGCCAGCGACAAGATTGATCGGGGGATCGATAGATTGGAGATTGGTGAATGTGAAGTAGGCGGTGGCTCGGATGCCGAGAGTTGTAATAGGCGTAGGGTCTTCTTGCAAGATGGGAAGGAGCGCCGAGATTTGCGACAGAAGAGTGGCAGGGACTATGGGGTCGGTGTTTTCGACTAGTTGCAACTTCAACTTGTCGATGAGAGGAATGTCCAAAGCCGTGGAGGGGTTCTCCTGGACTTGAGCGAGGTGTGATTTCACTGCATCAAAGGTTGAAGGGACAGACATTGTGACTTCTTGGGATATCTTCAGTTCTTTTAAAAACCATTCACAGACTTCAAACTGAGATGGACGCCTTCGTGACAGGTGAAGCTCGTCCTTCGCGCCTCCGCCGCGGGGAAAGCTCGTATCAGCCTCAGGCATCAACACCAAGCCGACCAAACATGACCGCATCGACTAACCGTCTCTACTACTCAGTCATTCACCACAAGTTCCTCCGCATCCCAGGATTGCCTACAGTCATGGAGCCTCCACAGAGTCTAGTTTCTCAGAAGTCATCCGATTCGGGTCTCCATATCCAGCTACACCCACTCGTTCTTCTCACTGTCTCCGACCAAATTACCCGACACGCTGCCCGACAGCAGCATGGGCCGATAATCGGCGCTCTTTTAGGTCAGCAGAATGGACGAGAGATAACACTTGAGCAAACGTTCGAGTGTCCAGTTACTTGTGGACTGAACGATGAGATTATCTTGCCGGCGGCATGGTTTGAAGAACGTCTTCAGCAGTGTACGCGAAACCCCTCACGAGATCAATTAGGTCTCCTCTTAGCGAGTACAAACTGACCATATTACAGTCAAGGATGTGCACAAAGACCCCGCGCTCGACCTTGTTGGATGGTGGTCAACCGCGCCATGGACTGGACCCAATGACGCCCATCTCCCCCTCCATCGACAGATCCTCCAGGACTACAACGAATCTGCCGTCTTCCTCGCCTTCCACCCTTCACAGCTCCAGGCTTCAAGTTCAAATAGCGGCAAACTTCCCCTAACCGTGTACGAAAGTGTTCATGAAGGCGATACTGCCCCCGATGCAAGCAAGGACATGCAGGTTGATGGCGAGGAGTCGGTGCCGAATATCAAATTCAGGGAGCTGCCCTACTCAATGGAAACGGGAGAATCAGAGATGATTGGTATCGATACTATTGTCCAGGCCTCTGGCACCGCTTCTTTGAATGCGACACAGGAGCCAACCAAGCGTGCGAAGCAGAAAGAACAGAAAGAGCCAAATAAGCAGAGCTCGCAGGTTGAACTCTCACAAGAGGAGGAAGAGTGTAAGTTTTCACAGTCTCAACACAACTGCAGCATGGATGGTTGATACTAACCGATGGAAAAGTAATCGCAAGCCTCAGCACTCGTCTCAATGCCGTTCGCACCCTCGAATCCCGCATCTCCCTCATCAAATCCTACCTCTCCAGTCTCTCAGAGGCGGATTTCAGCTTAGATCGATCAAAGGAAAATACATCCGCCACTAAGCTGTCACACCCAATCCTCCGCAACGTCAACTCTCTTCTCTCGCACCTCTCTATCCTTTCTCCGTCAGAGCAAAGCACCTTCACCACCGAAGTACTCTCGCAAAGCAACGACGTCCTATTGATCTCACTACTTGGCCAACTTGGCGACAACGTCAAGGCTATGCGCGAATTGGGCCGCAAATCTGCAGTCATCCAGACTGCGCGTCACGTAGCCACCGCGCGCAAGGATTCCTCCATGCTCCAAAGGGGCTTCAATGAGGATTTCTATGGCCCAGGTGGGCGTGGAGGTCCTGGAAGTGGGATGTATTCGTGATAGCCAGTTCTTGAGTGTTTCCACGATCAGCCCATGAAAATACCCCCCAAATGGTAATATGCCGGATCTTGGGCCTTGTCTTTCACTTGCTTTGCTTAGACAGTGTTCATTTCTGGCCCATTCAAGGCCATTTAGACGAAATAACGAACTTCGATATGATTTCTTCCTCTTTTTTCCTTGTCCAATCGGTGACACTAGAAGTCAAGCCCAAACGATACTATACAAGAAATATAACCTCAACGATACTAGGAGAATGTGCGTCGATGGGGATATAGCAGATAAAGAATAATGAAAGGAATAAGGGAATAAGAATAGAACAAAAAAAAAACAAAAACATGCCGCTATGCAACAGGCGGGTATCCATACCTATCCAAACAACGGGACAAAAAGAAAAAAGTAGAAGCGCAAAAAATCTCGAAGTGCTCATGGGTAGCGTGAGGTAAAAGAACCAAATCTGCAGCTCAATAACAGGGGAAACATGCATACAAAGCAAGCCCTGCCAATATAAGATGTGTTGTCTATACTGAGTTATAATTGAATCATAGACATGGATCATGAATGATGATACGGAGGAGGAGGATGGTAAGGATCCGGAATGGGTATAGGGAATTGCTCGCGGAGAGGACCGTTGGGCGAGGAAACGCGGATCGGCGATTCCGACTGCAGATTGTCAGGACTGGAATCGTCATAAGATGACGGGCTTCGCTCGTAGAATCTTGTTGGCGGGTTTTGGAACTCATCGAGGTCCGACGCATACGGCGAAGTGCCCGTGAGCGATATCTCAGGGTTGGATTGCGCGTTGGCCAGAAGCACATCGTCCTCTTCGTAGGGCCGGTCCCCATAGCGGCCCATTACGCCTCCAGGCGTGCCAGTTCCGTGTTGGGTGAGTTCGCGGCCATCTTGGGGTGGCTGGAGGCCCAGTGACTGGTCTTGTACGTGATAACTGGGGTCCAGCATACGATTTTTGCGGCCGACGAACAGCCAGCGGGCACTTCGACCGATGGCTTTGAGAAGGTCCAATGGGTTCATGGCATCAATCAAGGCCCTTTCACCGTAGCGCCCACCTTGATATGCCACCTTGCCGTTGCCGTAGAAATCGGTCACTTCACTTGGCAGGTTATAGAGGGCGTAGCACTCCCATGGGAAGGCCCAGAGATGGAGTATACCAAATATAGCCATTTCAATGTTGATCAGCAGCTCCGGGAGCCCAACTTTGAAATCGTTCAGGGCGATTTTTTCAGTCGATGCAAGAACACCCTCGGAAACTAGAAGACTGATGAGTGTCTAAAGTAAATACGAGTTAATAAATAAATCACTTTATCAGAAGATGACGCGAAAATTCTTACTGACTGCCAGAATGACAGGAAAATGACGAGCTTAATTGACACGATCTTCAAAAATGGCTGATATTGCTTGATGTCTTGACTGGTCTGTTGGTAGAACTGGATTAGGCAGTACATGGCGATGGTGACAGAGACCGATTCGATGACGATGGTCTATCAATAGGTTATTAGTGGATCGACAGGATAAAGCGCAAGACTTGGTCACATACCCAGATATGCGAAAACGCGGGACTCAGCGACGCCTCGCAGTAAAGCCCAAAAGCCTGCGTGACAACCGCAACAATGGTCATAAGAACGCGCATGACACAATATTGGAATACCCCGACCCAGACAATCTGCACAATGATCAGTATTCTAAAACTCCCGACATCTGGTCAAGTCCATCATCTTACATTGAACCATGTCAATCCACTGCGCGGAGTCCGCCAGAGGCGCTCGCCACCCCAGGTCTTTTGAAACCAATTCAACGGCCAGAGCCATTCTTTCGGATGAATCCCACGGAAGTATTCCTTCTGGCTGTGCAGATCCGGGGCGATATAGTGGCACATGAGGGAGAAGAAGGCGGAGATACAGAACGCTTCGTAGCAGTCGCCGAGAACCTCAAAGTAGACGGAGTCCTGGTAGAAGAATATGCTAAGCCATGCGACAAGGGAATAGACGGGGACCATGAATAGGATGCGGATAATACTGCGGGGACGAGGACCATGTCAGCAATGTTTGGGATGCCTTAACCGCTACCCTAGAGAGGCGCACTTACTGTCGCTGTTCGATCGGCTTGCTGTAATGTGTCGCATGTAGCATAATCAGGGCGAAAGATACAAGACAGGCGATAATAGCGCAAGCGCCGCCCACCAAGAGCGCGAGGAGATGAAATGAAATGCCACCATCCCAGAGTGCGATCTCCTCAACTATTTCCGATCAGTCACCCTATTAAGGCGCGGGGGGAGGGGCAACACACTTGTTTCGGTCTCTGTGGTATTACACACTGGCCAGCCCATGATGGCTGCTAGGGTGAAAATGGCAAAGAGGACGGTTGACGGAGTGAACCTTTTTTTCCCCTTTATCTTCTTATCCGGATCGACAGGGGAAGACGCCACCGGTGATCAACAAGAAAATATTGAAGCAGCAACTATTTCCATACGAAGCCCGGAGTAAGCGAGGAAAGGAGATGACGTTGTGGACTGGTTATGCATAATCTGGCAGCTCTTCATAATCCGCCGATATCCTAGGGATCACCGGAAGCTGAAAGGGTCTTTATGTTGTAGGGCTATGATCTATTTTTAACCGCTTGAGTGGACCCAACACGTACAATATATGTTGTATTGGGCGAATAATACAGGGCGCTACATATTTTTTGACATTGGATTCTTATTTGCAGACGCTAGGAGTCTATTGTACATGGCCAATGGCAATGCTTTGAGCATTCGAAAGTTCAAGACCGCCAGGAATCCCCACGCCGTCCGCCACGTCCACGTCCACGTCCACGTCCACGAGGTCCAGGTCCAAATCGTTCGGGGCCGATGTCGATGAACTTATCCTCTGCTTCGAAAGTAATTCGCCGCATCTCGTCGCCACCAGGACGTGGGAATGTTCCCTTCTTAATCAGCTCATCAAATTGGTCCAGACGTTTGTCGGCAACGGGACGTGGAACGGGAAGGTAGTACAGCTTGGGTTTGGTGGTGGTAGATTCGAACAATTCATCCAGAGGCTTGAAGCCCTGTCCAGGTCGTGACGAGGGTGCGGGAGCCACAGGGGCCACAGGAGCGACAGGAGCCGCGGGAGCCGCGGGAGGCGCATATGAGGGGCGACGGCCATATTGTTCCATATCACGGCGCGGGCCCAAGGGAGGAGTACGATTGAAACCTGATTCACGTCGTCCAGAGGGAGTGGAGCCCACCTCGGCGAGGGTAGCCGTAGTTCCGTCATCAGTGGTCTCATATCTCACTTCCCAACGGGCAGCAGCGCCAGCGCGGTCTCGGGATTTCTCTTCAGTCTGAATCCATTCCTTGATCTTCTCGTCAGGGATAAAATCGGCTCGAAGGCTCTTGCGGTTGCGCTCGTTGGGCCACACAGTCCCTTGGACGGCGGAACGAACCCGCGAGGCGGCCGCGATACTGGTGAAGCTTACAAAACAGTGAGTTTTGATAGCATCAAGATAGAAATCAATAATATCATCGGAATCGGGGGTTCCGGGGGTGGAAGTGAGGCTGGCTAGGTGTTTGCGGAGTGCAGTCGGCTGGAGTGGGCGCATGAGGCCGTCGATGTAGAGGGCAGAAGTTGCAGGGTGCAACGCAGGGGTTATTTCTACATCTTGCATTGTAATATCTCCCGGGGGAGAGGTGAGTTGAGAGGATGCACTGGTAGGTGCAAATAGGTTGCGGAACCGAGCATCTTGCTTGGTGGGAGTTTTGTGTGAATCTGTTTGGGTCTCGATAGGTTGCTTGTCTGTGTGGTTCTCTGTTGAAATCTGGTCTTCAGGCTTCAAATCGCCGAGCGCCTCGTCGCGAGAAGCAGACACCTCATCGTCTTTCAGCAACGCGCGGGGGGTTGTTTCCTTTGCGCGAGCCTTCTTGTTCGCAATCTCCTCTAGACTAGGAGCCGGGCTCTGACTGCGGCGTTTCCGTTTGCGTGTATCCTCCAATGCCTCTTCTACTGGGAGAGATGCCGTGTCAGTCTCAGAAGTCTGGGCAGTGGAGATCGGTTTTTCGTGAGCGTTCGCAGGGTCCTCGTTCTTCGCATCTTGGGTTGCTTCTTCCATTGGTGGCTGGGAAGATGCGGCTGCAACACTGTGATCCTTAGGGCTAATTGTCTCTGTTTGTGTCTCGGCAGGCTTTGCGACGTCTTCAACTTTTTGCGATTTCCCATCTGCTGCCGAAACTTCATCTGCTTGGGTCGGCTCATCTGCCTGCGTGTGTCCATTTTGAGCTTGCTCTGACACTGAAACGGGTGCTGTTATTTCACCAATATGTGAGATTGATTCATCCTTTCCTTGTTCAAGCTGTTCGTTCTCTGGTTGTTCGGGCTGCGACGTCGCTTGCGAAACAGCATCCGGCGCAGATGGCTGTGATGCGGTGGATTCTTCTGCTGGAGTTGTTTCTGCAGTTGTAACCTGGTTTGTCTGTGAGTCAAGCTCAATCAATTTGTCAATGAATTGCTGCTTGAGGCGGAGGCCAGCCTGAGAGACGCCGCGCCTCTTGCATTCGGCCTTCAAATCAGCCACTTTCAACGATGAATAGTCACTCATGATGACAAATTCTCCGTATCAAAGGTCGATGGGAAAATTCAACTTTGTATGAGAGGAGACCAGTTGCTTATTTCAGAAGGAATAAGACAATTGGTTGGAGCGCAGGGATTGAATATGGGGACGCGATGGAAATGGAAATGCGCGCCTATGATGTAGGACGCTAGCCATATATGGACTAGCGTCAATATTGAACAATTTAACCGGACAACTACAACGTATAAGTTCCTCTCAATCATTTGAAACAATCAAGAAACATAAGACCTATCTGAGAGATTTGAGAGAGATTTAAGAAAGTCCAAATAGGTTTGTTCAAGCACATAAATCGACTATCTATAGCAGACTGATAAACCAGCGGCTGAAGTAAACTAGCATTGCGGTCATACGGTTAAGACGCACAGAAAGAAAAGGGACATTGATAGTTACAGGAGGATGGCTTCGCTTCCTATCTCAACTGAGACTACATAGTACTTCTAGTGGATAGAAAGATTTTGAATGTTACACATGTGGTACATTATTTGCTTTGTATAAACTGTGTCACTACCTGCTTCATTACCACCACTTTTCTTCAGAAGATTGTCATACAGTAGTTAGTTGGAGTGAAACACTGCACTTAGAGAAGTAGCCAAGGTAGACAAGAGTGCTTCTAATCTACAATACCCGCTGGCAGCAAAGCCACATAGTCCAATGGCGCGAACTCAGTGCCATTAGGCATACCGACAATCTTCAAGGTATTACCCTTATGAATCTTGACACCCCGGAACTTGATACGAATCGCCGAATGTCCATCTAAATAGATAGAAGGTGTGTGGCTCAAGACATCTTCACTATTACCAACCCATTGGCCGATTTCGTGATCATTCAGATAGATCTTCCACCGTGACTGGCCGCCGTATACATCGTAGTAATTCACAGCAAGGTCATAGGTGCCAGAGGGAAATTTTATTTTGGTTGAAGCGGTGCCAGCTGTATTGTTGGAAGTTGTAACAATTGCAACTGAGCCCGAGGCTGTTTCGAAGGGGCTGACGGTGTAAGCTTCGTAGCCATCTAACTCCATATCTTCCGCTTCGATACGCCACGGGTGATGGCCGGCCCGCTTGGACTCGTCAGGGATTCCAGAAAGATTGTAATAAAAGTCATTGATTGCATCTCTCCATACAATCGAGTGGCCGCTCTGGTAGTCTAGGAAGTGCCGAACATGGTTGTATCGCTCAGTATCAATTTTGCCATGAAGCGATTTCCACTGCGTAAGGAAGGTCTGTGCAGTCTCGGCTCCGCGGTAGTGCTCGTCGTAGAAGTGCTGAATAACGGTCTTGCCCGAGTGCAGACGGTGAGTGTATTTCACATGGTGGAACCAGAGTAGGAGATCGTCTGGGGTGGTCTCGATGTTCTCATACATGGCAGCGATTTCATCCGGATATTGGCCTGAAAAACCTGTGCCGTTTGCCACCGTCCGATCCATTCCAATGCTGGTTTGGTCAGCGCGGGTCCATTGGCCCCAGCCATTGTTGTCTTGGGAGGCAGGGCTGGGACCGTAGTGAGTGTATAGAATATCTGTCAAGGTCTGGATGCCCAAATTCCCACTGTATTGTTCGTAGGCAGGCCAAGATTCCATTGACATCCGAGTGATGGTGCCGAGTACCTTGCGGTCCAGCCCAAAGGTCAGTCTGATCCAGTCTTGCAGAATGTCCTGGGCATCGTCTGCCGGGTTCCAAGCCAAGCGACCATAAGCATATAGGTTTGACATGGACAGGTGGCTACCAAGCCAGGTGGTGTTTGTGCCTACATTGACAACAGCTGCTGATCCGCCTAGTCTGCGATTGAACCGTTTACCAGCCACGATATCGCGAACCAATGATGGCTGGTGGTCGACACGGAGGTCGGTGTCTAATATGGTCTTCCAAAGAGGAGCAATATAGACCAAATGCGACTGTTGCCCAAGGTATTCCTGCGTAACCTGTAGTTCAATGGCCATACTGGTATTGAACAAATTTGCAAACAATGCCGATGCTGGCTCACGGATCTGGAAATCGATAGGGCCGTATTTGATCTGGATCACCACGTTGTCGTCAAACTCTCCATCTAGATCCTTGAAAAATTCCACGGCAGCCTTCGCACGATCATCCGTCCAGACTGATTCGTTCAGCTGATTGTAGACAAACGCACGATACATGACAATGCCACCGTAGGGCTGGACTTCTTTGGCGAAAAGATTCGCTGCATCTGCGAGGGTCCTGTTATATGTCTGGGGGCCTGGCTGTCCCTCCGAGTCAGCCTTGACGAGGTACCCAGCCATGTCAGGAACTAGATCATAGATTTGAGTCGTAATATTCGACCACCACGCGATGACAGATGTATCGAGGGGATCGAAAGTGCTGAGCCCTCCATAAGTCTGAGGGGATGCGAAATTGAGCGATAGACCAACTTGTATACCGTATGGACGGAAGACATCAGCAATTCGAGCCACCCCGTCGAGGTTTGTGGGATTCAAGAGGGTAGCATCCGCATTGACATTGTTAATGACGACAGCATTGATTCTGATCGAGGCCAAAAGGCGGGCGTATCCAGCAACACGGGTTAGGTCGTCGACGATTTGACCGTCCTTGAAGAAGATAGAGGGGCCGCCATAGCCGCGTTCGATTCTTCCATCCATGTTGTCCCATTGATTCACCCAGCGAATCGGTGCAGAAGGATTGGTTGCATAGGCGACCTTGGAGAAGTTTCCCTGAGCAAGCATCGACAAGTATTCAAAGGTGCCATAGAGAGCACCTCTCTCATTTTGTCCAAGGATTTGGACATTGCCCCCTTTCGTGTCGAGCCAAAAGCCATCTTCTTCCAGTTCAGGTACACTGTTCACAGCGCCACAGCTTTTGCGATATTGATCAACCGTGCCAACAACGACTGAGGATATATTGCAGTTGTGTGTGACTTGCACACTCTTCCCATAAATACCCTTGAGACCATTCTGCAACTCCGTCCCTGCAACATACACCGGACTTGTCTCAGTCGCATTGAGGATGCTGATACTGGAAGGGAGATTGTAATGACATTGGCCTGAACAGGGTAATGATGCGTACCGCAGCCAGCCATTGAGGCCATTCTCAGCGGCTGCAAAGCCCAAGGAGACAAAAAAGAGAAGTGTACGCATTGTAGCCAAAGTTTCTGGTCATACTTGATCACTCACTGAAGATCAAGTTCCTCCTTTATATGGAACTGCTCGTGAACATCGGGAGACTCGTCGGTGGCACATAGTTCCTCGGAAAACTTCAGGCTAAATGAGTGGTCTGTCCAAGCCAAGCAATACAGGCTGTATGTACTTACAGTGCTTCCCCGCAAAGATTGCGGAGTTGCGTGGGGATTGATCTGGCACGGACATCAATGCTGATTTCTTAGGATCGAGATCAGCGCCACGAAGCCGTATAGGTGTTATAGATAAGGTCTAATTTAGACATGAACGGCCAGACTCATGATAATAGAATGCATTTTTGGTATTACATTTAGGCTATTTCTATGAAATGGCGAGTCCGAGGACAAGCGCATTTAACAAGCGGTCCAGTATCTTGGCACTTGTCTAGAATATGCCTAGTTTGGAAGATCCGTGATTCATCATTATTCATGTGGAAAATTTTGTTCAAGAATGGTTCAAGATTCTATTTTTATGGCTCGCAACAGGGCGACACGCTTAAGCCTCACGGCTCAGGATGTCGGAGTCACCGGCATCGAGGATAGCCATGGCGGAGCAGCGGAAGAGCTTACCGCAAGCGGTACCGAGCTCAATCTATAGGGCGAGTTAGTCCAATTCGCTCTCCGGGACACCTTTCGGCAATCCCTTCGCTGAGCAACTTCACTCTCCGAAGTGGTAGTTTTGACCACTTCTTCTCTGAGTAGTGTAGCTGACTCCGAGGTGCGACAGCCATTTTCAGGCTGCCGACCCGAAGGAAAGGGGAATGGAACGTACGTTGTTGCCGTTGAAGTGGTGAACGGGGGTCTTGGCGAGCATGGCGTAGTACTCAAGCTCGGACTTGCGCAGAGGAGGGCAGTTTCCGGAGATGAGGACCAGCTTGGCCTTGCCAGAGCGGAGAGTCTTCATGGTGGACTTGGTACCCATGGTAACTGAGAGAAAATGTTAGCAAATTGCTCAATTGTGCGATCGAGAAAAGCTGCGTACCCTTGCCAGACTTCATCACAAGCGCCAGGCGCGAGGAGAGGGTGTCACCGGACTTCTTAGTCTTGACCATTTTGAATGTTTTGAGGGGTTGGCTCGTAAGAAGGTTTGTTGGATGGTTGGCTACGGAGGAAGAGAATTCGCACAGATGAAAAATAAGGTCAAGTGTGGAGCGAGCCCTAGTGGCACGTGATGTGGCGCACGTGACTAAATACCGCTTTATTTTCTGCCAGCGGGACCGGAAGCCAAGTTATTCCAAGGCGCGGGGGTTTTGACTCACTCGATTTTGTTACAAGTACAGCCTGTTCTCATTTTCCAATTCGTGTTTTTCTTCATTTTGCAAATTGTTGTCTTTCACAATGGCTGATACTAGCAGTGCTTCTACTGCGCAATACCGTCAGTCTATCCTCCACTCTATCCCTCCCAATTCTTCCCAATGAACCGCTACTAAATCCCGTAGAGAGAGTCGATTCGCAACCTGAGAACCCTTATGCCCAGTTGATCGAGGATCAATCCATTGCGATCATCCCGTCCTTCAAACTTGAATCCGGTGTTACCCTTCATAATGTCCCGGTCGCATACACCACTCGCGGAACACTCGCTCCTAATGGCGCCAATGTGCTGGTGATCTGTCACGCTCTTAGTGGCAGTGCCGATGTCGCTGACTGGTGGGGTCCTCTTCTTGGTGGTCCTGGCCAAGCATTCGATGTCTCCCGGTTCTTCGTGATCTGCCTTAACAGTCTGGGCAGCCCGTACGGGAGTGCAAGTGCTGTGACCTACAAGGATGGTAAGCCTGAAAATGGCTACTATGGACCCGAGTTCCCCTTAACGACTGTCCGTGACGATGTCAACATCCACAAACTCGTGCTGGACGACCTCGGTGTTAAGCAGATTGCTGCGGTGGTTGGAGGATCCATGGGTGGAATGCTCACCTTGGAATACGCATTTTTCGGCAAAGACTATGTGCGAGCTATTGTGCCCATTGCGACTTCGGCGCGTCATTCCGCGTGGTGCATTAGTTGGGGCGAGGCACAGCGACAGAGCATCTACAGTGACCCGAAGTATGACGATGGCTACTATGCGTTCAACGATCCGCCAGCCACCGGCCTCGGTGCCGCTCGCATGTCAGCACTCCTCACTTACCGTAGCCGCAATTCATTCGAGTCTCGGTTCGGTCGCAATGTACCGGATCCAACCAAGCCGCGGAACATCAACGGCACCGAGAGGCTCCCCACTCCCCCGAACGAGCACTGGGCCATCCACAACGACGGACACCGTGGCGGGACAACTTCACGTTCGGAGAGCAGACAAGGCTCACCGGCTCCTGCAAACAAGGCCGATGTCCAGTTCATGGACCCGCAATTCTCTGGCACCAAAACATTCGCCCCTGAGGTCGACGAAAAGCCCAAGCTGACTGCATCCGGCCGTCCTCGTCCTCCGACCTACTTCTCTGCACAGTCATACCTTCGTTACCAGGGTGACAAATTCGTCAAGCGATTCGATGCCAACTGCTACATCGCCATGACCCGCAAGCTCGACACGCATGACGTGTCCCGCCGGCGCGGCAATTCCAGCGCCGACACTGAGGATACTGTAGCTGAGGCGCTCGGACGCGTAGAGCAGCCAGCTCTTGTTATCGGTATCGAGTCGGATGGTCTGTTCACCTTCGCGGAACAAGAAGAGGTTGCAGCTGGCATCCCCAATTCTCGCCTCCGTCGCATCGATAGCCCCGAGGGCCACGACGCGTTCCTGCTTCAATTTGAGCAAGTCAACCGCCACATCGTCGAATTCTTCCACGAAGTCCTGCCCGATATCATGGCCAAGTCAGGCGATGGTGCCGCTGTGGCCAGTGTCACTAAGCTGACCAAGAGCAGCACCTTCGGCGAGGCCGAGGTGGAGGATATCACCGCTTGGTAAAGCGGCGAAAAAAAAAAAAAGTATTGTCAGGCGCAGTGATTTCTGCAGCCAATCCCATGCTCTAACTGGGTCCAGAATCCCGTGCAGGGGTCCGCGACCGGATAGATGTCGTGGCGCAGGGGAAGTAGGGTTGCCGTTCTTTTTTCCATTCCGCCAGTTAGGGAGATGAGCATCCAACTGCCTCTCCCGTCTCTCACTTGGTAATTGTCCTTGTCCGAGAAGACTGTCAAAGAAGCATCCAACTGCTCTCCATCCGACCCACCGGGTCAATTTCCCCCGGGAGGATACCTCGGGGAGTGATGGGTCCGTTTTCGGTATTGATAGCCATTGGTTATCTCTACATGCACGCATTATTTAGAAAAATAAATCAGAAAAGAAGACAAAGAAGATGACCTGGACAAAAGTACGTAGATCCGCAACTCCGTAGCTCCAGGGCGAAGATAACTTGGCCCGAGCTGAATGGTCAGAAACAAGATTAGGTGGCGGCCCGGGGCTTTTCAGGGCCCAGGGTATTCTGCTCTGCTCTTTTGTTATTCTGCTGTTAATGCTATTAATTACGGTTGGATTCAGGTACGCAGGCTATGTTGTACCTAATATACACCTGGTCTATAGGCCATGTTTCTGATAAACCGTGGTTCAAGTAATTAACTGCTGCGAAGACTCGTCTAGATGTCACTGGCGCAAAAAGTCCTCGATTTGAGTCACACTAGCACGCTGCTCTAACTACATGTGTACTGGGCGCTTAGACCCTTTTCGATATGGGCGTTATTAACCTATCTAACTGGTTTAGCCGGGTGAACTAGATAGCTTTGGATAGGAATGTCTTAGATTTTCCAATTTTATTGTGTAGAAATCAGGAACGAGGCCCGAAAGGGGATATCGAGTGTTATCTAAGTGGACGATAGTTCTGTGCAGAACTACTAGTAAGATCACTATCTTTCCCTTTTCTTTCTTATTATCTCGTATTCCCAGGGTCTCTCTTCTACTATGTTCCTGCTCTGCATTCCCCTCCCCCCGCATACCAGACAGTTGTGCCGACAACGGTTCTTGAATTTTCCCTCTTACGACCTCACATAGTTTGGAAATTGCCTGGATCTGATCTGAGCCAGTCGTTTGGGCTGCAGTGGACTGCCCTGGAATCAGTGGCCATTTTCACTGATTGTCGGCGCACTTTCCTCTATCTCTCTTTCGTTTTCATTGTTTGCTTGACCATCAGACACAAACAAAGACAAACCGTTACGAGATGGAACGCAAGCTATCAGCAAAAGCATCTCAAATACGCCACCGTCTGACCTTCACCAGAAGCAACTCCGCGCGGGCTCTGGAACCAACACTGGTCTCGCCCATTGAAGTCAGCCCACCCAGCAGTCGTCCCCGGTCAGCAACAAACCCCGAGTCTCCCACCCACGCCGAGCCCACATGGCACAGGGACCCTGGTCCCTCCGGGGGCTACAGTTTCACAGATGAGCCGGGCTACTTCCGTCCTGCATCACCGTTTATCGACCGCCAAGAGATCGAAGAAGACCTCGAAGATGATATCAAGCATGCATGCGCTATGCTATCCCACAGCATTGACCGTGGAATGCCAGCTGGATTGTCTTATCGGAGCGCCGTGACAGTCGGACAAAATCCCCAGCCCAGTGTCGACGCAGCTCCTTCATCTCTAAAACAGCATGTCGTTCTTCTGTCGGCGATCAATCTCCAAGCGGACAGCACCAAGAGACATGATTCCGGCGTTGGTATGATCAATTCGCCCAGTCAAAAAAGGAGACCGTCGGGCAACAGCGTGTCGGGCACCAACATTTCAGCACGGTTCTATAACAAACAACCCTCTGCCTCACCGCCACATAGCCCATCACCAGGGACCCGCTCCCGGGGCCAGAGCCTAGAAGTAACAATCGAAGATAAGGAAAGGGGGCGAGCTTGCTCTCCAAGCTTGATTCCATTCTACAGTCCTCTCCAAATGAACAGCGAGTGGACATGGACATCCAAGCCCACAACACTCCACAGCCCAGTCAGCTCGCTCAATGACACCGACAAAAGATTCGAAGTCACCGAGTCCGAGCTCAAGACACATCCACACGAGATTGCCACCGACACAAATGCGATCCCCGAGACATTCTCCCCGGCCATCTCCCCACACGAAGCACCTCTCGGCTGGACAGGCCGAACCTGGCTTCACGTGAGCGGAGACATCCCCTGTCTCATCGACGAAAATGCGCCAACCGAAGCCAAACAGGCAAAGCCAATGGCGCGCTTCTACAGTTCCTGCAACCGAACAACAGGGTCATTACGCTCCCGTGAATGGCCGCCGAAGGATTATTGGGAGGAACAGGACCTGAATGTCCACGGCAAAGTCACACCGGATTCGCTACTAGGCTCTGGAAGAGAGACATTGTCGAGACCCGAAACAGGTATCTCGAGATTGGGCAGTGCTTCGACGAATGAGGAAGATTCCCCTGGCGGATACTTATATCCACCGTTTGCCGATCCCAACCGTGGCATGTCTTACTCGTCTTCTTGCTTGGCAGATGATATGTACCAGGAGCGTATTTACTCTGTTGCTATGCCCGGTTCTCCGAAAAACAACCGGCGGAACAAGGCTTCGCTCTTGCTGAGGAAGTTGGCTGGGCTAGGGAGGAAGAAGGATAATGACAATGGGAATGAGTTTATTGATGGCAGCAGGTCATGAGGTTTGTGGTGTCAATATGCATTGCAGGGATTTGAGGTGTTTTTTTTGATTCCTTTGCCCTGAGGCGTATTCGTGGCTTTTGATATTAGGTGTCTATTCTGTTCTATGTAGATACCCTTGTCTTTTCTTGTTCTTGTACCATTTATCATATCTATTGCTGGTTTCTGGGGATGTTCATGTATTTTGTTACTTTATTTCGCAGCTTCATGTCAGTTATGTTCATTTCAACCCAACCATTGCATCGCTCTCTAGCCTGCACCACCCACTTTCTACTTAAACACTAGGTCTGCTTCACTTTTTCTGAAGTCCACAATAAAATAGAAAATCCAATTCAAAATACCGAAACATGTGGATTAAAATCTCGTATGACCATATGCCAAGCCAACCTAGCCCATCCACAGATTAAAAATAACATCACTCGTGAGACATGGTCTTATAACGACAAACACAAACAAAAATACCACAGCCCTACAGACCCAGCCAGAACCTCGTCTTCCCAACTTCAAACTCACCACGCAGTTCCTCAGCGCCAGTCCCCGTAATAAGAACCTGATACGTCCCCTTCTCCGAAATCCACTGCTCCCGCTCCTCATCCCACCAGCTCGTAGCCAACTTCTTCTCAACAACCAACTGCACCGTCTTCCTCTCACCAGGCCGCAAGAAAACCTTCTGGAAAGCCTTAAGCTCGCGCACCGGACGACCAACACCCGTCTCCGGCGGCACGATCCAGAGCTGCACGATCTCGGCGCCGGCCACCTCACCCGTATTAGAGACCGTCACGGACGCAGTCACCGGTTCCCCAGACTCCGCATACTTACTCTGTTCAGGAACAGTGTCGATATGCAGATCCTCGCGCGTGAAACTCGTGTACGAAAGACCATGTCCGAACGCGAAGCCCGGCACCACATCGCTCTTCTCGTAGAACCGGTACCCGACGTAGATGTCCTCGCCGTAGAGGACGCGGCCGCGCTCAGACCGGAAGTTCAGGTACGAGGGGTTATCGCGTAGAAGGCGCGGGAACGTGAGCGGCAGCTTGGCGGAGGGGTTCACGTCGCCGTAGAGGACGTCCGCGATGCCGTTTCCGCACTCGTTGCCGCCGAACCAGGCCTGCACGAGGGCTTTGGTATTGTGTTCCCAGGGCATGGTGACCGGCGTGCCGGACTGGATCACGACGACGGTGTCCGGGTGCACCGCTAGCACGCGGCTGATCAGCTCGTCGCTGCCTGGGGGTAGGTCCATGTGTTCGCGGTCGTGGCCTTCGGTCTCCCATTCTTGGGTGAGGCCGGCGAAGATGACGACTTCATCGGCGGTTTTGGCTTGCTCGACGGCGTTGGCGATTAGTTCTTCTTGGCTTACTTGGCGGCTGGCGCCGAAGCGGAAGCCGCCTGGGCCGAAGGCGACGATTCCGTGCGTGTCTAGGTCGGAGGTTGGCGCGCTGCCGAATTGGAAGAGGATGTTGTATGTTTGGCCGGCTTTGAGCTCTTTGGTGCCGATTTCTTCGATCGTGGCTGTGCCGAAGAAGGCGGAGCCTTGCTTTTGGTTCTTGGTGTTGTCGACGACTAATTCGCCGTCGATGAGGAGTTGGCCGGTGCCGACGACTGTCACGCCGAAGTCGTAGACTCCGCTCTCTTCGGGCGTGAATGTTCCCTCCATGTCGACGTAGTAGGTCATCGACTTGATCCGAGGGTTGACGTAGTCCATTAGGAAGCCGGAGGATTCGAGTAGATGCAGCTCGTCCACGGCCTCTCGGTCTTCTCCAGAGTCGGGGTGTTCATTGTAGACCTTGAATGTGAAGCCGGGCTTGCCGTCTGCCGTCTTCAGCAGTGGACCCAGAAGCGGCAGGTCCTTGTGGGAGTACACGCCCTGGCTGTACTTGACCTCTCCCTTGGACTTGGCAGAGACGCCAGCGAACGGCGTGACAGTGTAGTACGGAGCCAAAGAGGCTGAGCCACCACCACAGTACGCAGCAATTTTAGCGTTGGGTCCAATGACCAGCAGAGACCCATCTTTCTTAAGGGGAAGAATATCACCCTCATTCTTCATAAGCACGACAGACTCGGCAGCAGCGCGGCGCAACAGAGCCTGGTCTTGTGGCCGGTTGAGAGCCTTCTCAGGTGCTCCCTCGGGGATTCCCAGGGGTTCAACCCAGTTCACCAGGTTGAGGATATTGCGCACTCGTTCATCGAGCTGGTATTGGGCCACTTTGTTTGCAGAGAGGGCGTGCGCAAGAGCATCACCACGCCAGCGGGTCTTACCGGGCATCTCGATATCCAGACCGGCGATGATAGCATCCGAGGTACTGTATGTACCAAACCTACAATTAAAAATCAAACGTGAGCATCCGAAATAACAGAATGAACCCATCGTAACTCACCAGTCACTCATAACAAGACCCTCCCACCCCCACTCCTTGCGCAAGATATCATCAATAAGAGCCTTATCCTCACTAACATGAATCCCATTAACCTTATTATAAGACGTCATAACACACTGCGCGCGACAAATGCGCATCGCCAGCTGAAACGGCATGAGATAAATCTCCCGCAGCGCCCGGTTAGTAACAATACTGCTAACAGCCATGCGCTCATGCTCCTGGTCATTGCAGACAAAGTGCTTAAGCGTAGCCGCAACACCCTTCTCCTGCATCGCCTTGCAGAAGTGGCCAGCGAGCGTGCCGGAGAGCACACCATCCTCCGAGAAAGACTCGAAGCCGCGCCCACCCAGCGGCGAGCGGTGGGTGTTGATCGTCGGGCCTAGCACGATGTGCGCGCCTTTTGCGATCGCTTCTTCGCCCATTAGTGCGCCGACTTCTGAGAGGAGCTCGGTATCCCAGGTTGCGCCGAGCGCGGTGGCGCACGGAAAGCAGGCGGCTGGGATGCCGTTGAAGAAGCGGGTGCCTCGGACGCCATTTGGTCCGTCGGACATGCGTAGCGAGGGGATGTTTAGGCGTGGGATAGGATGTGTGTGCCAGAAGTCACGGCCTAAGGTGAGGTTAGTTTGAATTGGATCTTTGGCAATAGGAAGCAGGTTTACCGGCTGTGAGGGCCACCTTCTCGCCGAGGGTGAGCTCCTCGATGGCTTTCTCAACGTCGATTCGAGGCATGATGTAGCAGCTCTCTTTTCTCTTTTGGGGGTATATTAATTGCTTGTGCTCTTGTTCAACTGCAAGGGAGAATGAAGCGTCCAATAAGCTCGAGGTTGTTAATCTCCGAAGACAGAGAAGTGATACACTCGTTGTCCAAAAAGAAAAAAGAAGAATAAGAACAGAATCAATCTTTTATACGCAAAACTAAAGAGTTCAGGCCTTCAATGTATGAAGCGTCGGATTGTGAAACCAGCCCGTGTAGGCGGGGAAGCTGTGGAATCGTATCCAATGACAATGGCTACATATATGATACCAGGACTTGAACAAATGATATTCCAAGATGTTAGGGCTGATCATCCACTCGCTCTCTCAAGAGAACTCTCTCAAAGGGGCACGGAGGTAGTTGCGAACCGAAGTTTACCCGACTGACGGTAGGGCGGGGCACGTCGGATATTGGACCGCTGAGCCTGGAGAGACGAGAGACGGAGTACGGAGAACCTCGGACATGGAAAGAAATTATTAATCATGGAAGATCTTTGGATATTGCATTTCAGTTACGTTCATTTAGAAGAAGAAGAAAAAGTACATGTGAAGAAGTGAAGTGGTTGGTCCCCAAACACCACGCAAAATGCAAAGTCAAGATAGGAAACAGTAGAAAGTCCAGTGTAGAGGAACTTGAGGTTTGTAGCAAAAGAACATAAAAAAAAGCAAATTCCATTCCTTTCAATGGGGTATCATGGTAAATGGTGAGGATCACGCTCCTCGGCGAGGACGCTTGTTATCATTTCCCATTCTCATGCCGCGTCCACCGTCAGTGCCATCGTCAGGGCCCTGTCGACCACGCTTACGGTGCCCAGAGCCCCCAGAGCTACCACCCTCACGCTGGTGATCCCGGTCACGTCGGTCGCCACGGCGCTCGCGCTCACGATCCCGATTGTCGGACCGGCTACCCCGTTCGCCAGTATTGAAACGACGCTCGTTTCCTTCCGGCATGGGCGGAGGTGGAGGAGGAGGGGGTGGTGGCGGTGCCTCCATAGAGGACGTGGGTCGCACACGGCCTTCATCATGGGTCTCACTGCTAGGTGTTGGTCCAGTTATTCCTGGCGGTCCATCTGGGCGGTCACGTCGGTCTCGGCGTCGCAGCTCTTCGCGTGAGCTCTGGGCTCGGCGCAGAGTCTCACGGGGCTCGCCAGTGCCCTTGTCGTCGCGGCTTCCGCCACCTCCTACATCGCTTCGACGGCTGCGTTCACGGTCATTTCGACGGCCATCGCGTCGATTGCGACCATTGCTGCTGCCCTCACGGCGCTCGGGTTCTTTCTCGCGAGTAGGCTCTGTTTCACGGGTGCGATTTCCAGTTGATCCAGAGCGACCCGCCTCGGGAACGGCATCATCAAGCAGGTCGCCACCTCGGCCACCGTTGGATCGGTTACGGGATTGATCTTCTTGAGGTCCCGCAGGACCCATGGGTGGGCGGTTCGCAGGCTGAGGAGATGGTGCCTCCATGGTGCTTGGTGGGCGATTGGCGCCTCTTCCACGAACAGGAGTGTTCCCACCCCGGTCACCACTGCCACCACCAGACTGCTGGAGCACATTGTTGAGGCCTGCGAAACGTTTATCACCACGGCCACGCTCCCCACCGAAGCCTTGTCCAGGCGGTCCAGGCGGTCCAGACTGCCCGGACTGCCCAGACTGCCCAGACTGAGCAGAGGGTCCCCGAGGTGGTTGTTGTGGGCCTAATCCGCGAGGACCCGATGGAGCAGCAGCGGGGGCTGCAGGTTCATTGACAAGATTTCTAAGGCGATCTGGGTGAATACCCGGGGCAGTGCTTGAGCCCGCTGGTTGGCTTGGAGGAGCGGGTTGCTCGGGTGCCCCACGCCCACTTTGTCGGGCAGGGCCCGTAGGTGTCTGGCGTTCCGGAGCAGGTAAGGTAGCATTGCTTGAACTGAGCATTGGAGGTGCCTGTCCAGACATATTGCGTCCACCGCGTCTTCGGGGGCCGGCAGGAATCTCAGACGGAGGTTCCGGCTGCCGAAGCCGACCATGAGTCATATCAGGACCTGGTGCAGCGTCCCTCGGATCAGGTTGTCGATCCGTGCGAGGGCCCCTGGGGAGATCATCAATACGGGAGGACGGGGTAAACCCGGCAGGTCTGCGATCATCGGGTGGGGGGAATCGGTCGGGGCGGTTTGGCAGGTCAACAGGTCTAGGGGGCGATAGAGGGCGTGGCGGATAGGGCCTGCGATCGTCTTTCTCTGGTCTAGACGAATCTCCACGTCGAGGAATATCGACTGGGCGGTCCATGTGGTCAGGCATCAGCTCTCCTCGCACAGAGGGATCACGTCCATGGAACGAATCATTGGGTCCGGGCCCACGCATGCGACCAGGCCTATCCATAGGCCAACCATTCTCGCGAGTAGAACGAGAATCACGAGGTGGTCCCCGCATAAGATCATCAGCCGCAGGTCTCATGGGGAATTCACGATCACGTTCATTGAGATGCTCATTGAGACGTCCTCGCACATCGCCTAGAGAACCATCAAAGGAGCGGTTATGATCTGGGCCATGACGACCGCGGGGTCCAAAGTCAGGATGTCTCTCTCGTCGGTCATCCAATCCCTCGGGGCGGGGAGGCAGTCTTCCATCGCTGTGTCGTGGCGGGGGACGAACGGGAGGATGAACTTGTTGGCGAATATCGGGTCTTTTGGGGATATCAGGCTGACGGGATGAAGTCGGGGCACGAGAATTTGGTCGAGATCGCACAGGGGGCTGTTCACCGGATGTAGCCTCTTCCCCAGTGAGCATGGACGGCGTGGTAGATCCGGCCTGAGAGGGGGTTCCGGTCCGCCTGGCTTCGCCGCCCTTGCCTGTACCGACATCGGTCATTTTCGCATCCTCAATTTCACCATCCTCGACTTCAGTCTTGCCAGACTGTTCCTGCTTGGCAATATTATCGGAGCTAAAGATGGAAAGATTAGTCATTGTGAGCATGTCGAAATGGTCAAGGCTGTCACTTACATTGAGGATCCAGTAGGGTTGAACTCTGGGGCTGAGGCATTCAACGCTGTTGTAGCAGATTGAGGAGTCCCGGGCGTTCCAGATGCGTCGCCAGGTGGCTGAGAACCAGGCTGAGCTGCCGCAAAATAGAAAGCCTGTGGCAGCATCCATTTCTTCTCGCGCCGGTTGAGGTCACCGATCAGAGAAGCAGCGGGAATCTTCACATCGTCTCGCTCGTCATTCTTGCTCAGGTGGTCGACACAGTTCAGGATGTTCCGACCAATCCAGTTTACAGCGGGGAAATGCTTCACAACAGCCTTGAGCACACTGATGGCATTTCGAATATGCATGTATTCACCACTGCTGAGACAGCTCTTCAGCGCGTTGGAGAACAAGCGGTGCCATTTGTACAACAGACGCCGGAAGTCTTCGAATTCCAAAAACATCACTGGAACACCTTCGGGATCGACGTTTTTCGCGAAGCCAGGAAGGTCTCTCTTGGCACCGAATGCCTCTTTCTCGTAAACTGCCTTATCGGCATGCCATCTAGTAAGATCACGCAAGATCTCGTTCAAGAAACGACCAAGATTGTCCGCTTCTTTGGATGTGCACAAGAAAATGAGAGCAGTGAGTCTCTGCTCGCGGAAAAGCTGGTCAAGGAGACCAACGGTCCGGAAATTAGGGGTCCCAGAGCTGTGCAGGAATTTTAACATCTTGAAGGAGAAGAATGCATCAAGAGGGGACAATAGAAGCCTAGGAATGAAGCATTGCTCCAACAGGGCAACATTGAGAGAGTCATGCTTGAGGCGCATGCCGGCGAACCACTTGTCTTTCTCTTTCTGCAACCGAGAGCGTGTATGTCCATACGCCTTCAGGTGATTCTTATTCTCATCTAGAATACGCTCCTGTAGCTGAGTAATCTGGCGCTTCAAGTGCTCCTTTCGTGCCGTGCCCGCCACGCTAAGATCAGATCGGTCACTGTTGATAGAGACAACTCGCCGCTTGAGTCTGTCAATTTCATCCTCGTAGGATTTCTGCGGAATATGAACATCATAGAGGGCAAGCTGCCAGAATGTTGCATAGAAGTGTGCTCCGATGGTCCCCCATGTCTCAGCAGGAAGAGCAGACTTGACATCGTCAATCAAATCTTGCATGACAGGATTGGCTGCCAATGGCTCGGCATTGACCGCGGAAGCAAGGATAGCATCGGGTCCTTCGGTCGGAGTAGTTTCGTCCTTATCGACATCCATGGCACTGTCTGCCGGAGTCTCGGACTTCGTGGGTTTTTCTTCGTCCTCGGTAGTATCCATCTTGTGGTCGCCGTTCGACTTCGATACAGAGACTGAACGTTCTTTCTCTTGTTTTGATTCTTCAATGTCGTTGATTTTCCGAGCGATGCTGGGCCGCCGAATCCAGAAGGCAATTTCGGGCTGAATTCCAAACTCCGTGACGAGAGAAGAAAAGTCCGGAACAAAGGAATCAAATTCATCAACCGAGAGATTGCTGCGAAGTAAGTCGAGGTATTGAGTGAGAATTCGGTGGATTTCGTCAAAGATATTGCCGAGCAATTTAAGCTCCGAGGAGGTTTCATTGTACACACAAGTCAGTCGTTCTTGGGCAATGGCGACCAACAGTTGACCGGCGATTCTGGTGTGGGTCAACGACTTGAGCAACCGTTTGGAGGTGGTCTTTGACTCATGACGTTTATCCAGCAGTTGCAAGATAGTCTGGGATTGGAGAACATCACCACCGGCCATGGCCTGAATTTGAGCATCATTGAAGTCGTTGTCTGAAATGATGCCAGCCATTGAGCTGATCAATTGCTCCAGCACAATGAGATCGGTGGAGTTGTTGTGCCGAAGTTGCTCCACCACATACTGGAGGACCGGAGTAGGGTCCATGACCGAGTACCGTTTGTAAGTTCGACCAGCGAATGTGGAGAGAGCGTTCAACCATCGACTAGTCAATAGTCCACCTTCCTGGACCCGACTTCGTCCTTTCTGGCCAAGCGAATTAATGAGGGA